TTTTTTTGATTTTGAAGAATTTCTTTATTTTTATTTCCATTTAACTTTAATTATAAACGTTAATGACCCAAAGAAATATTAACCAAAGCTAAGAATAAATATGATTATAATATATATTTTTAATTTTATTTTTAAATTAACATATCCTTTTTGCCCGTCCTTCCCCTAGGCTAAAATGAGACTTATGCTGTCAAATAATCTTTTTAAAAAAGAGCAACTGTTGAGTTTCTTTCCGGTTTCTTCTCAGAAACTGCTTTCTGAACCGGTGGTAACTTACTTACGAACGTATTAATTATTATATAAAATTTTGACGTTTCATAAGAATGCGCAGGCGACTATGTCTATGTCATGTGAATAAAGATATTTTGAATTGAATTGAATTAAGTCTTCCTATTGTAGCCCTTAGCTTATGGTGTAGCAGTAAAGTTTAAATAAATTACAGGTGACCGACCGGATAGCGGATATTAGCGACACGTGACTGTCGATGTCGGAGTGGGAGGATCAAGGCACGACTGTAAAAACAGGCAATTCAAAGTCAAAGTCAAAAGTCAAAATTTCTTTATTCAACATAGGCTTATTTTAAGCTCTTATTGAACGTCAAAAACTACCACCGGTTCACTAAACTAGACCTGCAAGAGAAGAACCGGCAAAAAAACTCTGCGGTCATATATTTATATTTTATTTCTATTTTTTTTTTAAGTATTTAAGTATACACACAAAATTATTTTAGTAAAATTTAGCAGGAGCCAGGGGACTTGCAAGTGCAGAGCAAGAGTCATTTCCACACATCCTTGTCCTCAATGTATTCCTCGACATTATAATAAGCCCTTTCCATTAAGGTGGCTTTTACAAAATGTTTGAAATTATTTAAACTTAATTGTTTGTGGATGTCACCTATTCTATTATGTAAGTTAATACATCTACCAAGAAACGATTTCCTGGTTTTAGCTAGTTTAAACCTCGGTATTTCCAACGTGTCACCACGGCCCCGACGCGATGTGGTATGTTTTTTTGTAAAATGGTGTAAGTTATTTCGTACATACATGATGTTCTCAAGTATGTATAGCGACGGGAGCGTTAAAATGTTTATCTTTTTAAAAATATGCCGAAGGGACTCACGGGGACCCAGGCCATAGACAGCCCGTATCGCATGCTTTTGCAATACAAATATCGTGTTTAAGCCGGATGCGGAACCCCAAAGTAAGACACCATAAGACATAATACTGTGAAAGTAAGCATAATAAACTAATTTAGCTGTTGCCTCGTTTGTTAGTTGCCTGATCGTATGGCAAAGACGGCAGCGCTGAGCTTTTTAGCTAATTTATCTATATGCGCTCCCCATTGCAACTTGGAGTCAATGCATATTCCAAGGAATGCCGTTGAATCCTCAAGAGGTAGGATGTTGTCATCAATAAAGATTCCTGGTTTGTGAGACAGCTTTGATAATGAAAATCTGATACATTTAGTCTTAGTGGCGTTCAAAAGTAAATTATTGGTCGCAAACCAGCCCGACACGACGCTTAGCATTTCATTTGGTTGTTCTAATGTAACATCTTTCCTATTAACCTTAAACAACAGTGAGGTGTCATCCGCAAACAAAACGATTTGAGACCTTTTTTTCTACCACATATGGCAAATCATTTATGTAGACTAAAAACAGAAATGGGCCCAGGATCGATCCCTGAGGAACACCCATTTGTACTATTGATCCCGATGACATAAGTTAAATATTTGGGCTAATAAACAAGCAATATCACAGATTATAAGATCTAATGCCCATATTGATACGCCCCATAGATAGGTCTTCAGTTTTATTTTTATTTAAATTTTTAAGTCTTAATAATATCATTCGGACCTATGTGGAAAAACTTAAAATCTGGAATGGAAATATTAACATATTTATCCAGATATGTTGCTGCCTCTGTGGGACAGTATTGCAAATGCCTAGTAGTTTCAAAAGGTATACTTGTGAAAACATTTAGAAACTCATTTGCAACTTTATAATTTTCTTTTATAACTTTGCCATTTACATTTAATGTAAAATCCACTTTTTTTTTCATTATTTTTACCAGTTTCCTTATTTATCTAGTAGTTTTAACTTTGTTTGCGGATAATTTTATTTTATTACTCAAGTAGTCTGCCTTAGCTATAATACAGACCCTTTTAAAGATTTTTGAAAACTTCCTAACATATTCATGGAAGTTAGGATCACAAGTTAATGATTTTATACTGTATAAATCATAAAGTCTATCCCTGCTCTTTCTTATTCCCTTAGTCGCCCATTCACTGAAAGAAAGTTAATTACTTTAAGAATATGGCGGTAAAGTGATGGCTCTCGGAGCCCGCCGGTGGTAAAGCCGAAAATAAGACCTCCCATGTTTCAGAGATTAAAATCCTGAAATCCGGTGCTTTTGTGGACTAGGCTAAGAGTATCTAGCTTTTGTCTAGTATACCAGTTAGCTGCTACCTGCCTGCATACCATACCTACGTCCATCATAGAGATGTAGTGAGTGAAATAACTGCGATTTGCACAGCTTAATTGTAAGAAATTCAACCTATAAATACAACAATTAAATTGTGCCGGAGCGAGGTTCGGATCGCATAGTATCGGTTCAGAGAGGTCCGTACCGACTTTGTAAATAGTTTTACACTTCTTCATACCCAACCGAATTCATTCCAGTAGGGATTGCAATGAAATTAATTGACAACGAATTTTGCATATAGTATCACTTTTAATGATATGTTTATTTTGACATATAATCACATCGATAATACTTATATTCTATTCATATATATTAAGAGCTAAACATACTCGTAATTCTAGAGGGAGTTTGAAAGAAGAGACCAGTCAGTGCTACAACTATTAGTTATTTGGTTTATTATAGTTTAATACATGGAACATTCACAGAAAAAAGTAGACATTTAATTAATATTTTACGACTAATACTTTTTTTACATCATTCTTAATTGATATACTTTATTTTTAATGCAACAAATTATGAAAGTCACACGTAAAGGCGACGTTGCGTGAATGACAAAACAATTTATCTCATTTATATTTTAACTTGGCATACATACGCCACTAATTCGACATAGCTTTAAGTCAGTTAAAAATAATTATAAAGAAATAAAGATCCCAAATGAAATTTTTCTCGGAGACATTTATTTGCATCGATACAAAAAAAAAACTCAAAGTTTAAAATATATCCACAATGGATATATTTTAAAATTATATTAAAGCTTTCTAAATTTAAAGCTTTCATTTATAATATTTGCCTTCCCGAAGTTACATACCCTTTGCCTTTTACTTATTCTATAGAGATATAGTACTACGTACCATTGGCGTGAATTACAATTCAACGCGGTTAATCCATTTTAACTATTAATATTAAACTAAAAGCATTTTATTCCATGCAATAAATTTTAATCCATTAAATAAATTTTAATGTATGTGCAAAGCTAAATAAAGAAAAGACGTATCAAGAAAAATAAAAAATATGTGCGGACCATAAAATTATTCTACACTAAAATAAATTATTGGCAATTATTCGAAAGCCTGATGTCCAATAATGAAAATTCCAAGAATCCAATTTAAATTTAATAATGTTTAATTATGTAGAATAATTTGAAAATTAATAATTATAATGAATTCCAACTTAATTATTCATATTCATAATAAAACTAATATCACAACCATATGCTCTAGCGAACCCCGGAAGTGCAAGCAATAAAAATAGTACCAAAAAATTACAACTAAAACGATAGCTAAATAGATAAATGAAGGATCATTCATTCTCTACGCTTCTTCTCTAAAAAGTCCACACAAATTCATATGAATCAAATAATAAGTTATGGAATGATCAATTTAATTAAAAAATGCTTTACAGATATTACAGCAAGCTGCTATTCTTGACACCAAATATAAATAGCAAAATAATTTAAACATTGTTTATATTGAAAAATCACTGTGGGCGTTATAATATCAATTATAAGCTTAACATACTTTTAAGACAACTTTACCCCAAAGAATCCATCCACATGAAAGCCAAATTTTAAAAAATAACCGTATCCTTAATAATAATATCAAGACTTTTAAATCTGTCGAACTAAAAATCAAATCTCCTTAACATAAAATTTTACGAACTTAGAATGTACTCCTTACTCTTAGAATGTACTCTTTAATCTTACGAGCTAACGTCTCTTCTTTACATCGAATAATGCAGAAAAGCCGTGTACATAACACTCGTAATGGCGTCGCCATTGACGAATTTATCTTAATGATGTCTACCCGGACGGGACGGCACATAGCGTGCATATACGGTTTAGAAATAAAATGTGTAATCTGCGCGACAAAATGATCGTAGCGGTGGCAGAAATATAAAAATATGGTGGAAAATTAAAGGTTGACCCTGTCCAATATTTGGATTTTAAATGATTAAAATATTTATGTTTTGATTTGTTCATAATCTTTTTTTTTTCGGGCAAGAGGCTTTAGTTTTACGCATAATAATAAACTTAAATTAAATTTTTAAATAACATTGAATACCATATAATATCTACCTATGATTTCCGTTTGAGGGGATACCTAAAGAGTGACATTTTTGTTAATTTTTAGATAATAAATATAAAAAGGACAAGTAATTAGAAATGATGTACAATTAAAAATATACACAAAATATTCGAAGAGGCCAACTTCAAATAACCTAGATAGTTTGACATTGTAAAATCATAAGAATAATTTCGTTGACTATACTTAACTGAGCTTGTGTAGATATAAATAGCTGTCAGAAGTGGTATCGCCTTAAATAAAAGCGAAATTAAAAGTAGCACTACAAATTTATATGTATAATATGTGCGAATTTGGCATACACTAAGTGATTATTATATTTTATAATCCTGCCTATTTAAAATTCCACTTGCTCCTAAAAAAATACAAAACATTGCATCTAATCTACGAAACCAAACAGGAACATCAGCCATTGCTTTCTGAAATTAATCTAAGGTCTATTCTTGAAAAGTTCGGCAACAACGGACGGGTCGGCCAAAGTAGAGGTGTCCCCAACGTCGTGGTCGCCGAGGGCCACCTTCCTAAGAATCCGACGCATGATCTTCCCAGACCTGGTCTTTGGCAGTCCCGGAGCATATTGGATAACATCAGGAGCGGCAAAGGCACCAATGCGCTGGCGGACGCGCTTCTTAAGGGAGTTGATCAAATCAGAATCGAATTCGGCGCCTTCGTTCAGGATGACAAAGCAATACAGCGACTCTCCCTTGATAGGGTGCGGTTTAGAAACCACGGCGGCTTCGGAAACCCTAGGCTCTTCGGTCAGAACACCCTCGACCTCTGCAGTCGACATGAGATGGCCCGATACATTGAGCATGTCGTCTATGCGACCAGTAACCCAAAGAAAACCGTCGTCGTCGCGTTTCGCACCTGAAATAATATCGGGTCACGTCACGGAAATGTTCAACTCTCTTGCTGCCAAATTTATATAATCCTGTTTATAAAATGACTAACTTTCTTGCATAACTATGCCGGTTTCGTGTCATGCACTGTTAAATATTCGTTAAGATTATCCGTAACGCTGTAGTTTCCTATTTTGCACGGCAATATGATTTCACGTTTAATATATATATATATATATACGAGTTTATTCGGCGTTGAATATAGGATAGATTTTTGCAACGTACCGTCACCAGTGCAGTAGTAGCCGGGGAACTTAGAGAAGTAGACTTTCTTGTAGCGTTCATGATCGCCGTACAGCGTCCTCATAATGCCAGGCCATGGCCGCGAGAATACCAAGTAGCCTTCGCCGGGGCCCTCAATCTCTTTGCCGTTCTCATCGAGCAGGGTCGGCTGGACGCCGAAGAATGGGAAACCCTAACGAAACCAATCAAATAGCTTCTATGTGATACCTCGTGGAAAATATTTTGTCCGAAATAAAAAATACAAAAGACTCAATTTCAAATACACTCTAAGTTTCAAGTATCTATGTCTACAATATACTTATAATAATAAGTGTGTAAGCAACGAACGGCAAGCAATAAATGAATAAAATAAATTTTGTTAATGCATCTATCGGACAATTTTTTAATATATATATATTTTTTACTTTTTTTATTAGTGGATTGATTCTCTAATTCATAATAAGTGTGTTTGTCGGACAACAGTAACAGCCGCTGTTACAGTTCGCTTCGCTTGAGGAGTGCATGGTATTCAAGTGCTGCTAATAGATTAGAAATTTGCACGACCAGGCGCCGCTAAGAAGGGGTGGCTGCACCGGATTTTATTAGAGATTTTACACATTGGACTTTTTCCGTTTACTTTACTTATATACTTTTTTCGGGTGATGTATAAACCTCAAGATAATACTTGGTCATTCCATTATCAGAATGAAAAAGTATTATCTTGAAGTGCCATTGTTATATCAATGAATTTTCTGTTAATACTCACTGCAGCTCCCGGCTTCATTGGCGTGGCACCTGGCAGACTGGTAAGCACATGTCCTCCTGTCTCGGTCTGCCAGAAAGTGTCCACGATAGAGCATCGGTTGCTCCCAATTACCGAGTAGTACCACTGCCATGCCTCTGGATTAATAGGTTCACCCACACTACCCAGGACGCGGAGACTCTTCAGGTTATGTCTAAATTGAAAAAATTATACAAACAATAAATGTACAAAGCATAGGATGGTTTCGAATGCCTGGTTTGCCGAGGGAAATTGTACGACTCAGGTTTTGATCCTTTGGTGCCTATTTACGCAATTTAAGAACAACGATTGCATCAGACCTATGTATATTACCATTCGCTTTTTAAATTTAACAACTGAAAAACACTGGCCTCATATTAAAACATCAGTTATAAGAAAGTACTCGCGAAACAAAATGAGGATTGTAATCGAGATAAATTGGATGGAATCATTGAGATAATATGCATTATTTTCGATTAGAAAAAGTTTTAGCCAGCATCAATTTACAAAATCTAGAAAAGATCGCTGCTCCACATATTTCCATAAATTTCAAAATTTATTTAATGTGAAGAAAAACTGGGTAAAAAATCAGCACTTGTACTTGTACTCATATGTAACAAAAGAAAACAGTTATGATTTCTAAATCACGTGTCGTTTCTCTATAAGGATTTAAGGAAAATGCGCATGAAAGAAGATTGTAACAATTCTTTGACTTTTTGGTAGATACAAATCATAGGTGGCGGCGCTTGCACGAATTGATTTTGCATTATTTGTGTAAAAAATCTCTGTCACACGCACATATCCGGGTCACTAAGGTTCAGGTACCGAAGAGGATTATGACCGAATGAAAAGATTATTATGATATTATGAAAAGTGCATTAACCTAGTATCATTTATATTTTAAAATTAAATTTCCTAAGTTTCAAAAACTTTACACCATTCAAGGTGTAAAAGATGTTACAAAGTGTGATTTTGAACCAGGTGACCAAAAACGCGGTGATTGTACATGTATGCATCGTGTGACGTGGATTATGCAGTGATCAGGGCACGCAGCATTGACCTCCTTCATGTTGCTATTGTAATATCAACACCGATTGCCTTGCTAAACCGATTCAATACCGGAGCTGATGATAAAATATTATTTTAGTTGTGTAACGCCAGTTCGTATTGAGGAAATGTTTTCCGTTTAAAGATAAGAACAATGTAAGGTCTCAAAGAGTAAGCCATTCTTTGAGACCAAGAATAATCTTGTCACCGCTTATATTAGTTTGAGTCAAAGGATTAGACGGTCGAATTGTTGTGGAAAACATCATGTAAAAATTTACGAATTCACACAGTTTTCCAAATGATAACCACGAATTATTAAAAATGAGTTTTTGAAAATACTAAAAATACTGTTGCACTGACTTTCCTTTGGGTGCTTGGTTCTGGGTGGTTATAAAAAAGCAACGAAGTCTTTTTCTCGAATACTATAAGCGACTGTCGAATTACGTTTATAGATTATTTCAAAGATGATTTTGCTTTATGGAATAAAATTTTAATTTAATTTCACACCTGACACCAATAAACGTAGTGATTACATTCTCTTTGCCTGACACCTGGAAGCTAATGGGAAAAATACCATCCTAACATAAAATATTTTTCCCAAAGATGTTTTGATTAAGCATTCTTGCGTATTTTCAGATTTTTATGCAATTTAACACAGGCCATGAGATCAATGTAAGTATGTAAATTATTTTTAATAGCAACCGCATGTATTTGACTTTTGACACTGTATTGAAACGCTCACGTTTGATACGTTAGCATTCCAATTAATTATTACGACGACGAATTACAGTTATTTAACTCTTTAAATAACGAATGGCGCTCAGTAGTTCATTCAACGGGAACCTTTGAAGAATAATGAAATAGGCAACAAAATTTATAGTTTTCGGAACTGAGATCAACCTAAACAAGTGGAAGGTGAAGTGAGCTGTCGGGGTAATAGCACGATTCATTGAGAAAAATGTCGGTTTAGTGTTTTTTAATGGAGAAAGAGGCAATCAAGCCAGCGGATCACCTGATGATAAGCGATCACCGTCATCTATGGATACTTGCAACATCGGAGGAGTTACAATTACGTAGCCGGCGTTTAAGGTAGGAGTAAGCTCTCTCCTTAAAAGTCCCTAAAACGTATTGGTCCGGAAAAACCTCTGGCAACAGCTGGTCCCACAAAATAACTGTGCGGGCTAGCAAATAGCAAACAAAATCGCCAACGATTAAAGTTGTATCGATGGTAATTGGCGTTTTCTCAAGTTGTACGTTGGTGAAATTTAGCAGCAGGTATCAATCCGAACAATTCCTCAGAGCCTCCCGTTGATATATCCGATAGAAAATGCACAATGAATCGAAGCGACCTGGTCGTCGAGGATTCAAGCGGCTCTTCGTTGTATGCGGTGAAATAGAAAAAGCTGGTAATTGGAAACCCCAACCCAGTATTCCATGTGCGGAATCTGTGCTTGATAGAGCTGTAAGCGATGGGTTGGCAGGAAATACTGTCTTGCTCTATTAAGGACACCTAGGTTTTTATTGCGCCACCGCTGGGTGTGATACCTAGATTATCTAAATATAATTTAATCATAATTCTTAAATCAGTGTCTAGTGGATACGCCCAATTGCCCTTAACACAATGATTCCGGAGGGATTCCGTCTGGCCAACTAGACTTTTGAATGTCTAAGGGGAAAAGTGTTTTACGCACTGTGCTCTGTGCTCGACGGTTAATTGCCCTTATCATCCAGTGTCGAGTTAGACGCGAGTGTGCTTAAAAGTTCGGCTTTCTTGTGAGCCAACGAGTCATCTTCCCTTTGCAATAATGGAACAGATGGTGAACAGAAGTTTCCCTGAACGGCCTTGGCGAGAAACCATAAAGCACGAGTTCCCGAAGGAACGAACTAATTTTTCGCCAATTTTGCTCATTTGGCTCTTTAGAGGAAAAGTTGTACTCCTTTTTAAAGTGACTGGTAAAGTGGATGCAAAGAAGGACCGCATCCTATCCCAATCAGTTGACCAGTTATGCCACACACGGCGAAAACCCGCAGACCGCGTAACCGTTCTGCGTGTGATGAGCACTGCGCTACAGTCTAGACAGTGGTCTGACGAACCAAGGAGAGCATGGACGGAAACCGGATAGTAGATATCATCGACAGAGACCTCATAGTAATTAAACACGTCCGCGATCCGCGTATGCATAATGAACAGTTGTGTCAAATCATTCGCTATGGCAAAGTCGTTTACAAACCTCCCCGCACGATCGGAAGTATTTGAACCAAGCCAGTCGACGCGATGGGCTTTATAATCACCAAGGATCACGATCTCTGCGGTTGGGATCCGTTGGAGCAAGTAATCAGTACCCATGTAGGACGTGGTTGATCAGTCGGTTTGTTTCTGTATTTCCTATTGTAACTCACACCCCCCTTTTATTGTGTATATATATTAAACTTATATATATTTCTGCCCCGTTATACGAATAAATCATATAACATCATTACGTGACCAGGATAATTTACTGATCTTTTTATAGGATCTTTCTAAAGGTAATAATTAGCCATATAAAATATTATTGTGATCGTCATATTCGCATTTACGTTGTGTTTATTTAGTAACTTGTTTCTTTTAGGTGTATCTTGGATAGATAAATATTCACTAGTTGCGGTATAAGCCAGAGATAATGCCAGATTGCTTTCTTATTAACTAATCCCGACTCGCTTGAGACGGGCTCAGAGTATATAGTATACTCCCTCTCACGCTTGCAAAGGGCTCACAATTTAATTTTAAACTAATATCCCTTCTCTCTTGAAAAGGGCTCACATCAATTTGTAGTGTAAAAAAATGTAGGGAAGGCACACGGCTCCATGAAAACACTCACCAACGCCGTGTGCGGTGAGCGCCAACCAACATATTGCAATTTCAACAGAAGAGGGACAAAAGTTGGGGAAAGGACCGAAGTCCATTGCAAAGCTGTTTTACCAGCATACAGAGGGCTTGGCCCCTTGGCAGTGCGTAAGCACAAACTTTGATCGACGTCGCGCATGTCAATGCGTGTAAACGTCATACAAGTCAACGACAAATCCAGTCTTCGTGAATGTACGTCAATACGGTTTTGGGCATGTGTTAAAGATCAGGCACTCTGGCCCTATGATATAATAAGCCCTCCGTAAGCGCCAACACTTTTGCCAGATCGCCGCGACTGCAGACGTGATTGTTAGTGTTTTGGCATCACCACCATTAAAAAGGTTAGCACGACATTTCGTCGCAGAGCGCGTTATGAGTCACTGCTCACCCCAAGGGTATGGTTAAAACGTTGCACGGCATCGCCGCAGCCTTGAGAGGTTTTCTCCCGCCACCTACCATCCACATGAGGTAAACGCATATGCTCCACCAACCATTGAAATAGTCAGATATAGCCATAGTTGTGATTTTTATGTTTAGCCATCAGAAGGGTTTATAATTGGCAACATATAATTATTTGTCAGTGTCTCTGACGTTGAGTATAATGTATTTTCGATCAAGTTTGTCTCGTTCGAACGGTGGGAACTTTACTGAGATTCGTTAATTATGTTAAAACGTATACAGGAGGTCAGACAGTCTGCAGTTCCGTCATCAGGAACCCGACTTGGACAAATCTACTGAGATGTGCCTCAAACCGAGACGCAGACTCGGCCATTATGAATAGCGTCGTCTCCCAAGCAAATGTCGTAAGACGCAATGTCACTAAATGCAACATGCATCAATACAACTATCGCAGGTCAACACGCCAACATGCAGTCTATCCGCATACTCATGCATATAGCCGCATGCATCAATGTGACTTTCGCGTAGGTGGTACACCCTCACACCACACCAATACAACTCCAATCAACTTCAGCTCCAAAGTTTAGAATATACTCGGAACACACGAAGTGTCCAAACAAACTCTTTCACGATCCGAATGCTAGTCGACGTATCATAGCGTAAACACTAAGACGCCAACCACCAACGGACCCCCACCCAAGCCAAGTAATAGCCAACGTATCATAGTGGAATACACTAAGACGCAAGCCACCACCAGACTCCCCAAAGTCAGATGATCAGTCGACGTATCATAGTGCAACACACTAAGACGCCAACTACCACCAAACTCTTACTATGCCGAATGACAGCTAACGTATCATAGTGATGGTCACTAAGACGCCAACTACCACCAGCTATCGATGATATGTCCACCACGGAAGACATATCCATTCATGGTTCCACGTTTACCGTAGACCATATCGTCGTACAGAAGTACCATGCAACTCCATAGTAATATGTCTTATAAAGTCCCAAGTCATTCATTGCTCTTCATTATATTTATATATTTATTATTTTTTCTCTGAGCCTTCACATATTATCACTTTTATTCATTAGACCTTACTTCCATATGATATTGGTATGGGACGTTCATACAATGTACTTTGACTATAGTACTAAGAGTCGCGATCGACCTCTGTACTTACATATGTGCGGTCATACAAATGTGTCCCCGCACGGTACATAATACTTCCCTTAGAAATCACTAAGTATGGAATTGTATTTAATGGACATAATAGTGATCGTATCTTGCTATATTTTTAATAAATTTCCTTTTTTGAGTATTTTAAGTGATTTTTAACTATTTTTAATCAATTTTTGGTAATATCATTTTCTCATACTAACACTTATATTTCTTTAATTTAAGTATATATTATTAACTTTTATTGTGATTAAACGTTCTTAAACGTTTTATTTTCATCTTAATTGATCTTTATTATGACTAATTAATAATAATATTTATTATTATTAATAGGTCGTTACAATATATAGGCACGTACGAGTATATTGAGCCGACTCAACCCGGCTCTACCACTGTGAGTTAGAGTTATATCTGCGCTGCGAAAACCATATTTATAACGTAGTTGTTTTTATAGATTAAAGGTGTGCAATATTTAAACCTGGCTCGTGGAATATCACGTTCTATCTAAATTATTCAGACACACTTTACGGCCATGCTCAGCAACACAACTTTTTTTAATATCTTTTCTTTCATTAAATTAGTTTTCTGCGTAGTTAATTATAATTCATAATTTTTTTGTTTATTTTTGCTGTTATTTGTAGAATGCCGTTTTGTTTTTGTGTTGTTTGTTGAGGTGATTAAATGTTTACGTATTATGCCTATTATTCGAATATAAAATATTTGGATTCTTTTAAATTAAATGATCCCATAAAAACTTCACTAATTCACAAAAATTCCTTTCATTTTAGTTATTGTGTTAGTAACTGAATAAATTGGCGAACTTTTTAATAATGCAATTGGAAAAGTAGGACGCATACATAATTATGTAATGATCATTACAGTATACCTCCTATGTCCTAATGACGAGGTTAGGTTACACTCATTTTTTGCAAACTAACAAAATATAAAGTCTGAGTTAACAATAAAATTATAATAAAAGTTGCAGTAAAAAAAAACATTTTCTAATTGGTTATTAATATTTCTAAGAACCGGTGCATCATTTTCTTCCTTATCAATATTGTCACCGCCTCTTAAGTACCATTTTAAGACAGTATGGATTTATTCATAGATTTATGACAATGCCGATAAAGCTGGAAGTGTAGGTAACTCGGTTATTCTGCAGTCATGATCAAGGACTGCGAAAACTAAAACGGCAACTATTGTACCTGTAGAGTCAGCGATGTTCTATTATGAAAATCATTATGAAAAATTACTTAATATCTTGTATATAATGGAATGGTGCTGGAAGGAAATTTGTATTACGTAAAAACTACTTACTTTTTGACGTGGTCGTCGCCAAATTTCGTGAGGGCCCTGATAGCAGTGGGCGCGGTGTAGAACTGAGTGACACGGTATTTCTCGATCAGTGACCAGTACCGGTCGTTATCCGGGTAGAACGGTGTGCCTTCGAACTGGAACAAAGTGCCTAGTTGTAATGCTATACTCATGCGTTTATAGAGTCAGGTGGAACATGCTGACCCTTGCTCAGCATGTTTCAATCTCTTTTCAAACCGAGGGTATTTACATTTGATCTTTATACCCTGGTCTATATACCGCTGTCGTTATTCGAAACTTGTCGGTTTGATACGATAAATTATTAGGGAAAAATGCGTCTTTTTAACCCTGATAAAAAACCTAGTAAAGTACTGCGGTAAATAATTATCCACTGTAGACAGGCTATCTCATCATCATCGTTGTTGTCTCTGAGGCTATCTCATCATATCATTGTTGGCAGCATACAAAAATTTGAAAGGCCAGTGCCATAGTTGTTTTCATATTACACCTCTTTATAGGTTCAATGAATCCTGACATGCAAATATGTATACTTCTGTCGCCTGTTAATGATAAATACATTCAATTGAAACCCGCCACCTTGTGCACAATAGAGTACTGGTCAAAGGCCGGTCTTAAAGTGGTGGAATTGACCTAGTTATTGGTATCATTCTTTGCACAAGAAAGCTCCCTTGTTGCGATGCCAGCTCAGTTACTCTTAACAATGTCCGTGAGTAAATGGATGCTCCTTGCAAACGAGCTAAGGTGAATATTCAGGCTAACCGAAGTGGTAAATGTCATTCAGTACTCTATTGTGTTGATTACTGGTCCATTCTGCCTAGGCCATTCGTAAGACGTACGACAAAATCGCGCAAATATGAGCATATCTGTAGCTTAGTTAATATGATTATTTTTGTCTGTATGAAATACTTGTTTAATAGTTATAAATAACGAGTTCAACAAACGAAACTCACTTTTTTATGCTCATACGGTTCCAAAAAGAACATTTTTGGAAATAAAAGCTGCATACGGGATGAAGACTCGAGACAGTAAATATTCTGGTTAGAAATCTGATACAAGTCTACTAATATGCATTAAGTCTTATTAACAATAATGTCGAGCAGTAACGAAATCACTGCATCGTTATTACTTAAGAATATTAGTTTATTTTATGATAATTTACTCCAATGGTCCTTTTTAACTTTTCTACCTTTAAATTTATGAACAATTTTTTTGAAAAAGCAAATGTATACCGTTTAGGACAAAAGATTCGTTTTGTGTACACATAATAAGGAAATTTTATTGCATTAAGGGTATTATTGAAATAAATACTTTCGAACTATTACGTCATCTTGATGTCTGACGATAACAATCTTGGGAAAATTATCTTGCTCCTAATAAAATAGTGCGTGAACTATCTATCTGATAACATGGGTATTGCAATTTCAAAGCACTAAGATGATAATATCTTTCAAATAAGTTTTCCAAACAAAGTCTGGATTCTGTATTTTAAAGAATTAATAAAATAGAGATAGTATACGAAAACGATTTCCATGCACTAGTAATTTTATTCCGGGAATAAAGACCTACCAAATTTCATTTTTAAAAAGTTTTCATATCGCATTGAATTTTAAAGTTATTTTTTAAACCGGAAGAGTCGAGAGCGTGCAAATAATAGAATGTAATATTTCTCAATTGTCTTTCAACGATCCATTAATGCGGTGACCGATTTTATCCAGAATCTGTAATGAACGCGGTCGTCGGAGATTAATTGGGTACTTATCGTAACGTCACATTAAACATAGTAACGTACAATGTGCGACTTTTCTCCGAGTTACAAGTTGGCAAGGTCATCTTGAAGGTGAACTGTGGCGGCAAACCTCTTATATTATCATGGATCTAATTTATGTCTTATCTATGCCTGACTAACTTATTACCACTTGAAATTACAATTTCTACAATTGAAAATTGTTGTTATAATTATGTCGCCACTCCATATAATCTTCAAGATATTAAAATTGGTTTAATAATACGGTACACGGAACAATAATTATGTCTACGTAAAACATACTAAAGGAACTTGCACATTTCGAATACCCCTAAATTATGAAGTTTATAGTTTTTTATTTAATTTCTTGAACACTAAGTAACAAAAAAATTTTGCGATATTATTCTTGACCTCCAAAAACTCTTCTTTCCTGGTGTTCCACTCAAAAAACACTCATTATAACACAGTACATTAAACTTTATTAATATTTTTGTGATTATAACCAAGGTTATATATTAAAATACTAATGCAGAGCAATGCCGGATATAAAGGCTGCTTGTCATTAGTTTTTTACACCATATTATTAAATAAGGGAACCTGAAAGGAACCGTTTTTCCGCATTTGTACTTATATTATAAATGCGAATATGTTAGTAGGTTTGTAGGCTTTTCCTTTACGCAGCAACAAAGCAAAAGATTTATTAAGTAAGAAAAATGGCACCAATTCTGTGTTGTTTTAATGAGGTGTCTTTGCTTTACATGTTTGAAAAATGCACATTATTTGCCCAAAAACGACTTACTCGTATTGTTGAAGTTATTAAATAAATTGTATCCAAATTAATTAAACTACGTAAGGTAATCTATACCTTTAAACGAGCAATTCTTGTATATATACTATCGGAATCTCGGAAACGGTTCCAGGGATTTTCATGAAATTTAGTATGTCCGTAGATTCGGGGACGAAAAATCGATCTGGCTAGGTTTCATTTTTAGAAATTGTCGTGTTATTCCTGTTTTCAGGGAATGAAAAATAACATTCGAATATGACGGTAAATTTCGCCGAAACAAAATGTTATAATAGCTCGGTTCGTTTCACAATCATTTACACATTTATTTTTTTTACTTTTTTTTTAAATACCGAGCATAGTTCGGTCATCCAGGTACTGATCTTTTATTTGATTAAGATATAATACATAACACAGTACATGTCATACTTTGTTGCTTTTCGTATGGTCGAGAGGTAGCCGCTGCCCAGTTTATTTACAGGTATATTATATATATATAGGTTATTTACAGGTTTATTACAGTATTGCAAATGCCCATGGGCGGCGGTTCTCCCCTAGCAACAGGTGTACCGCCAGCTCGTTTGACACTTTTTCGCAATCGAACTCGTGCGCAGAGGATTCTGTGCAATTCTGTCTGATAAAATTGTTATAATTTGTATTGGTGGGCAAGCTTTAAGTAAATGTGTTTGAGATTATTAAACTAATCCTCTCATACAACTCAGAGGACTTTCTTATTTGGCGTCAACTATGTATCTATGGGACAGCCTTTAATTTTCAACTTTTTTTAAAATTTTTCCTTTATTTGTGCTGTTCACCTTGGTTTTCTCATGATAGAAGGTTCATTTTTAACCTTAAAGGTACCTAAGGTAGGTAAGAAACCCTAAAATTAAAAAAAAAAGATTGTGACGCATCTGACCTTTGAGAGTCCAAGAATCTAAAGAAAATGTAACTTTCTCTGTGTAATACAAAATCGTAGCGTTTACTAATAACCAGTCGCATTAACTCACCATGACCGATGTCGCTGCGTTTGCGAGCGGCGCGTACACCACGTAAGTGTGTCCAGTGATCCAGCCCACGTCGGCGGTGCACCAGTAGATGTCCTTGTCGCGGTAGTCGAACACATAGCGGAAAGTGGCTGTGGCGTACAACATGTAGCCGGCTGTGGTGTGCAACACGCCCTTCGGCTTGCCAGTGGAGCCACTAAGACAAGAACATATTCCGACTGTGGCTACATTGAATCTTAGGTTGTTACAACTTGTATTGATTTTGAATTACCTGGTGTAAAGCATGAACAGTGGATCTTCGGCTTTCATCCACTCAGGTGGGCAAATCGTCGATTGCCCTTTTACCATGTCGTGCCACCACAGGTCCCTCCCTTCATTCCAGTTGTACTAAAAAGCGGCGAAATGGTTGAAATTGACGCTCTAGAAGTAAACTCTATCAAGCATTGAGCATGCGGCATAGAAAGTAAGAGCATATTCTATTTATCTTCTTAGAACGAAACCTTATTTTTAAAAGATAACTAAAGTAGCTTACCAAGCTCCTGACATCGTCAGGCAGCTTTCCACAGGGCGTGACTCTATCGAGGTGCGAGACTACAACGCACAAGCCCACAGTGTGGTTGTATTTGGTTTTGGCCTTTTCCATAGCCTCATCGCAAATCTTCTTCAGCTCCAGGAGTTTCTCCCCGCGCCATGCACCATCGGACGTTACCAGAACTTTCGCCTTGCAGTCGGACATGCGTTCCGCAAGGGAATCCGACGAAAATCCCGCGAACTGCGATCCGAATAAATATGTCGTGAGATTCAAATATAATGATTTCAATACTTTTAACGTTTGTATTTTGTGTGGAAGGCATTGGGGGAGAAAGTCGCAACGAACACCCGATCTATTTTAATCTTCCTTTCGAAAACATTGCTCCCGTACTGTAGGATATATATATGTGTAAGGATCTTTTACATTACATTTATTACTCGTGAATGTAAAGAACTTTCTTGCGTGCATACAATCCACACACATACTTTTTTTTATAAACTTGCTTACTCATATATTTTTATTAAATAAATGCTTTGATTTTACGATAACACGCATAACGAAGATCTTCTCAAGAAACTCATTGTGAAAAATTAGAATAACATTATTAGCTGGACGTAGGCGACAAAAAATTAAATGAAAAGATAGGAAAAAAGATATTAGTAGTTGTTTTATATAACTGATTTTTCGCATCAAAGTTTTGAGAACTACCCACGGTTTTTTGTATTTTATTGTTATTGCATCATTTCCCCAAAATAATGTGCCTTATTATACATTTACTAGTGTTCATAATACAAAAGAATACTGATTAAATGGCAATTACTACTACCATTATAAACAAAAATGGTCTATGTAAAACATTGATTAGTGACTTGTTATATCGGGTTTGGTATAAATAGCGGTGAAAAATTAGAAGTGATAAGTGCTCACCACGACTGAATGTACTGCTCCGATCCTCGCACAGGCCAGCATACAGACAACTGTCTCAAGGATCATGGGCATGTATATGGAGACCCTGTCTCCCTTGCCCACGCCATTATCTCGCAAAGCGTTAGCGAACTGGCACACCAGATCCATGAGCTTTTTGTATGTGACGCGGCTGTAGTCATCTGGGCAATTGCCCTCCCTACAAATTTATTGGTTTCTTAGAGCACAAATACTTAAATTACTTATCCAGAGAAATCGATGTCATGTTATTATGAAATTTGCTATAGGAGCCGACACAAATTTGCAAAATTAATTTGGATTAAGTTTCTAACAGATTTTCTGGACCTTGTAGTAAAATATTAAATATATTTATGAATATGATAATATGACAAGATATCAAAAATTGACTCGAGCGTTAAAAGTATGGAAGCTAATAGTTAGTGATTGGATGCCTTTAATATTGAATTTAACGCAGTGAAGACGTATAGGAATAGGAATATGAATTTAGGGAAACTCTCTTCGAACAAAATCAGGAGCGGACTACGGTTTGTCCAAAAATTTACAAAGCAGGGCACCTGCTTTGTAAATTTTTGGAATTTGAAGGATTAGTGAAACTATGCTATGAGAGTTGACCCAAATTAATCAAATTATCGATTTTACTGAATGTGAAGGAACTGTTTTTATATGGTAAAATCGTGCAGTTCTTATAAAGAATACTCGTTCTTGAACAAAATAATTGGAAGTGTGTTGAGGTGTAACTATTGAAAAATACCACGGTACACAATGGCAGTAATACCGAGTATTACTTTCACTATAATAATGTAATCCGAATTTTGATGGAGTTGATGCTATAGAACATTGGGTATGTTAAAGCGTATGTTTATTAGCTTAATATGTTTGTGTGCGATTAAGACGATGGAGCATAACCCTGGACTCAATGCAATAGCGCTGCTAGGCACTTCTGGATCTTTTGAAAAAAAAAAAAAAAGACGATTTATAAAAAATGTAAATGCTTATTTCTTTTTAATGACATTATAAATATGATATCTTCTATATTTATTTGTTTATTTATTTAATACTTCGTTGTTACACCTTACGCTAAAGGCTACAACGGGCGGACTTAATGCCTACGTAACGTAACAAGAATGGCATTCTCTACCAGTCAACGCTTGAACGCGCGGTGAAAAGTAGATGGACGGTGCTAAAGAAGAGTAAGTTAATATAAGAAATCAAAAAATTTCCTTTAAAGTCAATAATTGTAGGCTAATATATTTATAAAAATATATATAATATGTGTATATGCATATATAGGCATATGAATATTATCAACTAAATATATAATTATTTTTAATAAATACGCTCTGGGTAAATGATGAAATATTTCATCAGGCTGGAATTTATATTGATTAAAAATAACACACGTTCAAATGAATAGGTATTTAAATAATCTAATAATCTGTCTTAACACACACCGCCCGAAATTGTCCAACTTTGATGGTAATATTGTCACGAAAATGTTTCTTTGCTCCAAAAATATTATCTAAATAGTTTCTGATATAGTTATATGAGAAACACTCTAGTTTCTCATCCACGAATCTAACCACTACGGCTTCATCGGCCGCATTAGGGGACACAAGCCGATCGTTAGATAATATTTGGTATAGCGTCACTCATTTCTTTGTATATGTAGAGAGTTGGGGCAAATATCCCTTTATGGCCAACCGCTCCCCTGGGAGAAAAAGGTCAAATACTTAGGAGTCACTTTCGACTCGCGTATGTCATTTACTACTATAATTAATAACGTTCGTATTAGAGCCGCGTTCGTCTCCGGCCGGCTACACAATTTAACTAACGCTAAAAGTAAAATGCCCTTAAGGCATAAATTATTATTATATAAGACCTGCGTACGACCTATTATGTCCTACGCATGCATGATCTTCGCCCACACGGGCTCTACTCGCTTGTACAAGCTGCAAATAGTACAAAATAAGTTCATCCGCCGTGCAACCGGTGCGCAGTGGTATCAACGCAACGTCGATCTGCACAGCGATTGCAGACTCCCGACGATTCGCGAATATTTTAAAGACCTACCCAAACGGTTCTTCGATAGAGCCGAACATCATCCCAACCCTCTGGTGGTAAGCGCAGCAAATTACCAACCCGACACAAACGCGAACGTCAACAAGCGTCGCCCGCGAAACGTCCTCATCGACCCGGTCAAGGAAGGGGACTTAGATACGCCGGACCCACCGCCGGGGGTCCCGCCGGACAACACTACACCCTCAGTTAGTGCAACAACAAACACACTAGTTCGCCCTCGCCTCCGAGCACGGCGAGACCAACACAACGCGTACACAAGGTACACCCGCGTTCCAGGGCGGTTCTCACCGCCCCCAGCCACCGATTAGCTAAAAACACAGTCGACGGCCATCGGGGTCTCGGTCCGCACCGCAACTTCGATGGCCCTTAGATGACATGTCGTAGTTAAACGCACGCATGAGCACATGCGCGGCCCTACCCACAGCGGAGGGCCCAAACCCTGGGTTCTGGCTAGCCCACCGGTTCTGCGTCAGATGAAGCTTTAATAGTCTCGGGACTGAAAGCAAAAACATCAGTTAAAAAAAAAAAAGTATGGTCCGGCACTGGCGCCAGGTCTACCGATTTTGTAATAGATTCACTAATTTTCACAGATTATTACTGATTTACTGAAAATATTTAATAATATAATGATTTTTAAAAGCTGTTAAGCTTCTGTGAATTGTAGTTGAAAGAGTGCAGTTAGCATCTGTCGAACAACCCTGGAATACGGAACTTGAAATCGGCTCATTCCTATGATACTAGGGTTGAAAATTCAAAATTAAATTTGAATACCATTAAGGATCTAAATTTGCAAAATTTAAACAATATGGTCGTAAACATCAAACCAGTTTTTGCTTGGTATAGCGTGACCACATTAAAAATCGAAATTATTTATGTGGTCATGACGTGAAACTTTATAAAATAAAGAAAATTAAAATATTGATTCCCGCAAAATAAAAATTTTATTTAATAATAATTGTGTAAACATTAATTTAAATGCCGTGACCCTACCACGCAACAGTTTTCTCGACAGATCTGTGGGTGAGGATCTGACCAAGACCCCATAGAAGACCGTTGTGAAGTGGAAGTGCGTTTTCGTTGATGAGTGAGGTAGCCGGGGCAACTTTATAATAAATAAGGTGGCAACGCATCTGCAGCCCTACCGTAGGGCCCCTACGGTTGTTGCAAATGTCAATGAGCGGCGGTCGTCAATTAACATCTGGTGGACTAAAAGGTCGTTTGCCAGCTTCTAATATAAAAAGAAATAATAGATATCACAATAAAAGCAATATAAAAAAAGGAAAAGTACAAAAATAACATAACTCTGACAGTACGCACCGGTGCCAGTGCGAACGCACCAGTCTCAGTACTACGCGTGGTAACGCACCAAGAAAGGAAAATTACCTTTTCGACTCAATACCCTCTTTGCTATGAAATCACGTGCTCGCCTCTACCAGTTCCACTAACATCATGGCCCCCGCTTGATCGCCCGTGAGCCTAGTTCCCCTTATAGATGCATTATGCCCATGACGAGATTTTTTACTCCTTAGCCGAAGCGGGACTACCCAAAGTCATGGGAAATGATGCTCAAACCTTATTTTTCATAAAGTTTACCACCAATAAGACAAAAGTTTTCTGTTTAAATGCTTACTTGATAGTTAAGGACTTCTTAAATAATTATGATATGAAATCCATTCTCCTGCTACTACATATATCCATTCCAAGTTCCATTCTTTTATGATAAACTTATTCACTTTATTTTTCTCATTGTGGTGTGAGATGATTAAAGCACAAGCGAGAAACCTTAGAACTTCTATAGAAACAATTCTATTGCACAACTTAAGTGGACCAGTTTCAGTTAACGAATTACTAGATGAAACGTCATTACATAAATCCCGACCCCAAGGCCATTCACATAATTTGGTTGGCAATTGCGTTGACAACAATTTAGAGGGGGAGAACCGGTTACCATTCAACATAAATACTTTACGCCGGCCGTCTGTGGTGCCGTGGTTTTCCTCTAACGATCGGCCGAATTTTTCAGCAGGGGCTGTTGTATCTCGAACAGAATTCACAAAGTTTTGTTCATTAGAGTATATATTACGAAATAATTAAATATTCATAATTATAATAATAAATATAAATCACATCAGTTATTAATTGAAACCAACTGATGAGTACTACCACCATGGGGAGTAAAGGTTCTCGTGTGGTGACCACGAACCGGAAGAAGTAGCGTTGGAAGGCCAGGTGGACCGACGACATCACAAGAGTCACGGGCAACCGGTGGATGCAAATGGCAAAGTGTCATTCGTTGTGGCGTTCTAAGAGGGAGACCTATGTTCAGCAGTGGACGTCTTTCGGCTGATGATGATGATGATGATGAAATTCCTTGTTATAAAATTTGGCTTTAAGAAAAGAAGAAAGGTAACAGCTCACATATTTTATAACCCATCGCAACGTCATAGCTGCCGGGTTCGAACTTAGGTTGGTCGTGTTAAACGAAAGCGCGGTCACGTAACCGCCACGACTCTTTTTTAATTATTGTTTACCGCATACATAATGTATGCAGTAAACAATATAATATATTATTTTATGTAAGATTACTACTATACATTTAAAAATATATAGAAAAGATTTGGCTATATTTAGAAAGTAAAAGCTACTATTACTAAATAATAATTCTATATCTTTCAGTATGAACAATTATGACAATGATTATTTATTTAAGGAAATAATATGGCGTTATTTTTAACGAAGCTAATAGGAAAACGATGCGACAAAGGTCAACGGTATTAGTGCTAGAACTACAATGGACTTCAGAATTACATTTACATTCATAGCAGAAATTCATTTCATTCACTGTTCGGAGCTACCAGCAGTCTAAGTAGGTCTAGAGCGGCAAATTTGGCCCAAATTTTTTTGAAATCTTATAGAAATAAAAACATCATTAAGTAGATACACAGAGCAAATGACTGGAATGTCTGGAAAATTTTACGTAATTTAAGACTTTCATAACTTGATTCATCTTATTGTCATTATCGTGATTGTTAACATAAAATTTAATAGAGATACGTCTTATAATTAAAGCATGATAGAGCTTTTTTTAGTTCATAAATGTACCCAAAAACTATGTAATATAATTAATATTTATTAAATTAGACTGTCAGTAACAGTTCAGGCAATAGAGTCATATAATAAATAAGAATACTTATCTCTATACAACAGTCATATTAGCTAAGGTTCCCGGAACTAATGAAATTATTAATTTTAAGTGCAGATATATCACTCAGCGCCGCTAAGTGAAGGAAGACGTCGTCAGAAAACTATAATTATATTTATAATTATATAATATTTTCGAAATTATAACGAAAAACTGTTCAAAAATGTGTGAAGTCCGCCAATCCACAGAGCAGGATTCCGTGGTTGACTATGCCCTACTACACTTACAGGGGCCCTAGCTCAGCAGTGGGACATATAGGATGGTACATCACTTATTTTATCACTATACATGTACATGTATATACGAATATATAATATATACGAATATCTAAATCAATGTTTGGATTGGCTCTAAAACTTTGAACTTTTTATTTTGTTGAATATTTCAGGCAGTCTTCAGAATAGCCCAACGGGTTAATAATTGCTATCAAACAGCAATCGGTTCAACAGAAATTTATGTTCTTGGCAGCTCTAGTCGACTAGGGACAGCTAAACAATGGGGAAGTGCGGTGCAAATGTTTTCACCTAATAATTAGCTACTGATACTGCAGTACAGATAAAAATAAGACAAAGCATGTGACCGTAGCCTTATCGAGCTAGTCAGAAAAGGCGGAAAATAACACATCACACCTTTCCCCACCACCATTTCACCTGATGGTAAGCATTGATACCAATAGACGTTTTATTGGTCCCAAAGTACCAACATTACCTAAAATCTCACCCTCAATTGAATTATATAACTGAATAACGAAATATAAGTGTCCGATGAATTTATTTAAGAAGTATTCATTTTCTTTAATCTCTGTACAAGAAGCTTAGAGCAGTCAGGTTTCGGTCTTTTATATTTCACATTTAATAAAAGAATTATTGATAAGTTACATTCAAACATAAAGAGATTTGAAAAATATTCTTCAAAACATTCATAAAACATATAAATTTTTTGAAGTGAAGTGGCTTCATTGGCTGAAGTGGCAGTGGGCAGGGCACATAGCTCGAAGAACCGATGGCCGTTGGGGCAAAAAGGTTCTCGGGTGGAGGCCACGTAGCGCAGCGTAGGAAGGCCTCCCACAAGGTGGACGGACGACCTAGCCATGATCGCAGGGACACGTTGGATGCAGGCCGCTAATGACCGGTCGATGTGGAAGTCAATGGGGGAGGCCTATGTTCAGCAGTGGACCTCCTACGGCTGATATGATGATGATGATGATGATCAATTTTTTTATGAACTTTCGTTTTAATTTTACTTTAATTCGCATGGACCGCAGATTGTGTAATCCTAACAAACTAGTTAGAAGTCAATGATAACATCAAAAAAAAAGTTAAAATTCTTCGTATTAATTTTTATTATATTAATTAGCAATAACCATGCAGGTTATCTTACTCATCATCCTTCCATCTGCCCTGATCTCACATAGGTGGCACATGTGAATCATGATGTAAGCGGTTTTGGCTATATTTTTTACGACGAGCCACATGCCTGGCGTCAACCCTCCTTCGGACCCTTCGTAATATAATTATTTTCATCATGGAGACGACGACAGCGATGATATTTATATTTACTTTGCGATTATAATTTCGGCTACAAAAATTAAACAATAGATGTTTAATTTTTGAACGAACAATGAAAGAATCGCTGTTATTGAATTTTATATATCGTTACTCACTTATATTCTTAAATAATATGTATTTTATTTATAACACGTAAAAGATGTACTAAATTTAATTTAAAAATTATTAAATATTAAAAATAAGAATTATAAGATAATTGTGTGATATTAACGGAGCAAATATATGCACATCCCAGACATACCGCCCTCCAGGTGACCTTGTTAAAGTGACCTAGATATATCCCCCATCCACATCCCAGCGAGAAGAGCTGTGGCCTGTTTTGTAACAAATCAATACCTCACGATGTTAAAGAATTAAATTTTTGAACTAGATGCCGTTGTGCGCTATTGACTACTCGGTTCACTGTAAAGTACGAGACCGAAGTACATAATTATGTCAAATTGTAGTAATTTGGAAAGTGATAGAAAGAACAATAAACAGAAGTCATTACCAGAATGGAATTGAATTTGACGTTTATACTCTACCAGATAAGCATGCGACAAGTCAACACTTAAAATTAAGAATTTCATTGGTGCTGGCACTGGGGATCCAACTCAAGCTGCTCGAGTATGTTAAATTAAAAGCGAGCGCCCGGACACGGGCGCTCGCTCACGGACACTAAGCTGTTAAGGCTTATCACGTTCTCAACGGTAATGGAAACACCGTGAGGAAACCTGCATATTTTCTAAATAATAACAAAAAAATATTTCGAAGATATGCGAAGTCCGCCCTTTTACCCTCTGTACAGAGGAGGCCTTTGCTCATCAGTGGGATATGTTTAGGCTGCTACTTAACTGTACCAAATTAAGACGGTTAGTGGTAAAAATAAATAATAAATAGTCACATTTTACATTTTATGCTGAGAGATGTTTTCATTTGTACTTTGTTACAAAAAGATGAAAAATATTATATATGTTATTTTAAGCGATGGCGTTTCACGATATAATATGTACGCATTTAGTAGTAAGATAATGTACTAAATTGATATACCTCTCGCTTCAGCAAAAATAATATTACGCAAAAAATAATGTAAAAAATGTGTGTGATGATAACATGTTCAACAAATAATAAGTTAATGATTGTACGCAAATATCATGTGCAAATAACGCAGCCTGTAAATAACCAATAAACGTGGATATAATACTCTGATCTGATATAATTTTGCCAAGTCTCAACTTGGCAATATTATATCAGATACATTATATAACAAATGGACCTTTAAGCAACATAAAAAATGGATTAGCGAAAAATCAATAAGTGTACGCGCCGTCTCAGATGGGTGCATTCGCTGAGCTGTTATTGATTTGGTAGCGCTGTGGGCAAGAATCTTACTTACCAGTAATAGGCAATTTTATCTCCGTCCCCTTTTCTCACGTTTCGGTCTAAGAGATTGAAGCACACGTTCGTGACTGCACCTTCCATCCATTTTACGAAAATATTCCCTTTCGTTACATCAAAATTGAACGATACAAAGTTTCCTGGCTCGTAAGGAGTTTGCCAATAGAATTCCTTAGCTATGACCGACCAAAATCCCTCTGGGTCATTTATTGATTTTTTGTACAAATCGTTGTATTTATCCAGAGACTTTATGCGAGATTTCTCGAGAACGTAGTCTGATGGTTTATAAACGCGCGACATTTTATTGGCCGCGCTTAGTTACCGCTCGATTTTCAACTCACGAACTCTCCCGACGAAGTTCTCGCGGTAACTGAACCAGAGAGCAGACCCAGTGAATGAAATCTTTGACGTTTTGCTTTGGCCGCCTTTTTGAGCGGTGACGCGTTATGTCGCAATGACGCATTTATGGCTCGCGCATGCGCGGTTCCCGCCAACGGATTTTACCGCCAAACATGAATCACTTTGGTGATCTTAGTTTTGATTTCTTGTTCGTTATAATTATCTGCATGTCAGTACGTAGATTAGTATAATGGCGACTTTTGTGTTACTTTCTGAAGTTTTTTCCAAATGTCAATTGTACTCCAAATATTTAGATGAGATGAAAAAGTTACACGTCAGTTTGAAATAAGGGAACACTGATTTAAAAGTCCTATAGTTTTATTGGTTTTTATTTATTTGAAAGTTTCAAAGGTTTCGTGTTATATTTTGTTTTACAAAATAATAAACAATTAATTATTTAATATCTTACAATAATTTACTATTTACCACTTACAATACTAATGTATAGAATGTTACAAAGTTACGCGATAGGTAACGCAACTTTACCATTTACAGTTAAGCAACTGTTTAATCTTACAAATCAATCAATCAATCAACCTGGAACCAAAAAATTCTTTCGACTTTTTCTGTGTCAACACTATTGTTTATTGTTATGACTCGTTTTTAGCGATAATATTTGTGGTTTCTTATATTTACAATATTGCACAGTTAGCAATAGCATCAGCTTTTAATGATTGATTCCTGGTAAACAAAAAATATGATGGACTACAAATATCATTTTTTATTTACACATACATACAGTCTTTGAGATTTAAATTAACACATATTAACTTTATAATATCAATATCCACAAATAGTCCTAGCTGACAATCGTTCAATATAAACAAATTGGTCATAAGTCTCGGCCCTTACACTGTAAGCTTGTCCAGGCAATACATTAAAATGAAAAACTAGAGGGATCCGCCGCGTTTCTCATGGTGGCATCCGTCCCCGTCGCCCGCTGAGCCCGGCTCGCTCCTCGATCGTCGGGATCATCTGCTGCCGTTGGACCTGGCCGGGCGCTGTTTGGGCACGGGCTCGGCCTCATGCTAGGTGGCCAGTGACATCAGTCTGCGGCGTCGCAGCTTGCGTCCGCAGCGCTTCCACAGCGCCGTGGCGCAGTAGATGACGGTCGCTATGGCGACCAGGGTGAGCGCCCGGTTGGCCAGGCTGGGGGGCTCGTACTGCGCCTCGGCGCGGCCTCGCGACGGGGCAGCGCCCGCCCCACGCCAAGCGCGAGGCGCTGGCTCCGTGCCCTCAACCTCAGGGGCGCCTTAAACATAATGCGTTTGGTCTCATAAGGTGTTCGCGTTAGTGTTAAGAGTTATATAAAGATATACTTAAGCATAAAACTATGTCCGCGCTTTGAGACAAGACGGAAAAAAATTAAAGTGTGCCCTTATTAAAATTGGGTAATTCAACTTGTCTATACAACATCAATAAACCCTGCCTGCTAATGAACGCTTTTGTGCAATAAAGACATTTACATATACAGGTTATTTATTTTACCCATTTTCAAACATATATGGTTATACCATTGAGTTAATTGAATCAATGACATTAGTATCGCAATTACTTCAAGTTATTTTTTATAAAACGTCCCATGACAATATATCTCTCTGTTTTATTTATAAAATAAAGTGCACATTACATTGGCGCATGAACAAATCATATTGATTTCTTATATAACAGAGACGGAGAACAAGGTAGCTTAGAAAGAGGTCAATTTGCTTAAACTTTTGTAAGGACCACTTGAAATGCGTATCTCCGCGCGGTTATCTCTAGATTTTATGTCACCTCGCTTTGAATAACTTCAGAACAGTCCCTGTTTATTAATATAATAAAACTTTATCAAAATTTTCTAAATAAAACTTTATATGAATTGTTAAATTTCCTTATTCAAGATTAATATTGTTTTAATGGTTAATCGGGCAAAAAATTTATTAACAAAAGTAATAATGTTAGTGTTTTATTACTTTGAAATATTAAGAAAAATTTTGCATTATGAAACCCAACAAAAAAAAACTGAAATTATTTTATTTTCTTTTTAGTCCCCACCAATCTCAACGCAAAATTATCGTTTCAATACTCTCCTACCTCTTTGCATTCTTCTTTGAAAAATTATCGTTTCTGGCCGTTTTAAGCTTTTTATCGTTGTAAAATCGCTAACCACGAGCTCTTTTTTCCGTTGCAGGAACAAAAAAAATTGTCACAAGTGGCGGACCTGGACTTTATGGTGAATGATTGATCTTTTGGAAACCACGCTCGTAATACGGAATAGCAGAGTTGACAATGCGTGAACAGTAAAATAAGGCGCGCTTTCGCGGAGGACCCAGTACCCGCGGACAGTTATCGTCGCCTTTTTTATTGAATTGCTTCCCGTAAATTGATCAATGTGCGCCCATGAACATCTGCAACACTGAAGGGCACTGCAAATGCGTTGTCGGCCTTTCAGGTAAGAATATTATGGTTGAAGGTTCCCAGGTCGTAACCGTTCGGGAAGACCACCAGCGACACCTGGTTCGTCAGAGTGGTTATGCGAGACATAAATCTTCAATGCTTTCTCTACCCCATTTGAATTCATTTGACCACGTTAGAAAAGCACCACCCAATCTTCGTGAATGTTTTTTTGGACCTTTCGTTATCGTTTGTCAGGAATTTAATAGCAGCGCGGTGCTCGATTGATTGAATTAAAGATAGTGCAAATGTGCGGGTAGTCGGTGGATGCAGGTGGCTCAGGATCGTGCTTCGCAGCAGGCTGTGGGGGAGGACTATGTTCAGCAGCGCTCTAGAACGGGGTACTGATTTATTCAATAGCATAGTCTGCTTTCCGCGGACTATGCAAATGTTCATCGGGCACAGATTATGAACCCGTATACCTATGCTGCGCGGGTCGGTGGGGGCGTGGCGCGGGGCTAGGGTGCGGGCGGCGGGGGGGACGCTGACGGGCTGCGGGTCGAGGGGCGTTGGCACCTCGCACCGGGGCGCAGCCCTGGCTCCGCTGCCGTCAGCCGCGAGCACCCGCGAATACATATGCAGGCGGCCACCTTCCGCCCTCTGGGGTAGCTCTGCAGGAAAATAACCGACCACCTCCCGTGAATGTATGGCGCGTAAAATTCAACGCATTCTAAGTGCACAGCCTCTTAGCAGAAGCGAGGCCGCACGGCTCAATGTGTTAGTAGACGATATGAGAAGTTGTGCAAGTGTCGTGAGTTGGCGTTTACTCCGTCAAATGTAATGAAACGCAATTTGACAGCAATAGTATAAACTCGTCTAAGCATATGAAAGAAAATTATACTGCCAATTATATATAGGTCTTAAGAAATATCAACACGGATTGCAAATACTTGAGGTATAAATCATGCTAGAAAAGGTAATTTAGAATTGCTATATATATTATTATATAAACTACATAATTGTTAAATGAAACATATGTTTGACATAAAGGTTATACCTTAAATTTTAGCTCATTACCTTTAGGTGTAGGGATAAGCAATCTTAACATGTAACTGTATACAACGATAATGTATTGGATGTTTCACTAAATGTCTTTTTATCAAGTTTAGCTCAGACTTTGGTATGTTTAAGTAAAAATATAGAACAAAGCGGATATTAAAAATAAAAACGTACATTAGACATGTTGATATTATTGATTTAATATCAGTTGCTGTATTAATTAAGAAAGAAAGAAAATATGCTCTCCTAACGACGTAAACACAGTTACGTAAATAAAGTAAACAAAGTCGGTAAATAAAGTCAGGTAAAAGTAATTACTGTGGACGTAATATACACAATTAATATAATTATACATAATTAACTCTGTAATTGCGAGACCGCGATGAAAAATGTGTAATGTAAATATGTTAATCTCGATTAGATGAAGAATAGAGGCCTAACTCAAGCAGGTGACATGTGGGGAGTGCACAGAAATTCGCCGTGAAAGGTAGTAACGGGGATTCTAGCATCCTCGGGCAATGCAACAGAGACAGGTGCTACCTGTCCCGGTCTGACTGAGACTCCTGCCCCTAGGCAGTAGTGGCAGGGAATCCATAAACGATTTTTTCCCACCTCAAATAACAAGGGAGTTCGACGATTGCTTAGTATTAGAGAACAGCGCGGTCCATGCACCATCTCGTGTCACCAATTTGTACGCCGCGATGATAGACATGATAGGACACTCTACATTCAATATCTTGTAGGCATTTTACGTACACCTGTCGTAGGGCCACGCAACAGTTTTCACTGTTGCACTGCAATGGGCAGGTCCGTCCTGGTAATTACAACGACCTCACAGCAGACTGATGTAAAGTAGAAGTGTTACACTTCTGCGTTTCTGGTGAGTGCGGTAGCCGGGGCCAATTTGTTTGAAGGTGGCAACGCATTTGCAACCCTACGGGTCTACGGGCGGCAGTTAATACTTAACATCAGGTAAACCGCCAGCTCGTTTGCCACTTTTTCACAAAAAGAAAACACCATATCCTTACAAACATAGACTTCTTTTTCGCTTCTTTTTTTTTTAGTTGCCCCTACTTTAGGATAACATTATCCTGTGTTGTAAGGACGTTTTACAAACATATATTTCGCGCGGACAAACACCCAGATGCGAAACAACTATCTGTGGGTCACACAAATAGTTGTCCCGTGTGGGAATCGAACCCACGACCCCCGACGCCGAAGCCGATACCTCGGCGACTGCGCCACGGAGTCATCTGTCTATCGATGATCTGTCAGACTGTCTATCGATGTGGCCGACATTGGTACGTGCGGTACCCACCGGACGGTATGAGGTGCACGTCGCGGTGGGGCGCCGCGGCGTCCCTCAGGGCCGCTGGCAAGTGGCCCACCAGCGCGTATTGCAGCGCGGCGAGCAGCAGCCAGTGGCAGGGCCGCGCCGCGCCCCCCTCCAGGCACGAGGAGTCCCCGTACACCACCAGCCGCCCAGCCTGCCCCACGATCTTCAGTTTACAGCACTTTGGGGTCGTCCATTAATCACGTGGTGTTTTTGTTAGCATTTTCAACACCCCTACGCCCCCTCGGTGATACGTGGTGAGGTTTAAGACGAAAAAATAAATACACGTGATATCTTATTACACCTTGTGATATTTCGTGATTTTTGCCCGACCCCCTCTTCCCTTTCGAGCCTCACGTGATTAATAGTCAGCCCCTTTACTACGCGAAGTCCACAGGGTAGGTTCGATTAGTTTAATGCTCCTTTAAAGTGCAAAAGTAACTCTCGTGGCTGGAATACGGCGACATCGCTTGAAGGATAATTCAACGTAAATTACGAACGTTTTATTCATTTCAAATACAAGAAAACTTTATTCTTTGTAACGCGTGAATATGCATCGCCAGTGTTTGATGTCCTCATTGTGCTATACTATACCAACGGTGGTAGAGCCACGCAGCAGCCTCGGCTGTTGCACGAATGGGCAGGCTCATCCGGGTAAGTACCACGACCTCACAGATAACCGGCGTAAAGTGGAAGTATGACAAATACTTTCGCGTTTCGTCTGGTGAGTGAGGTAGCCGGAGCCCAATTTCCAAAAAGGTTGTCAACGCATCTGCAAACCCTCGGGTGTAACAGATGTCTATGGGCGACGGTATTCACTTAACATCAGGTGAACCGTCTGCTCGTTTGGCAACTTTTCACATTAAAAAAACCAAGGTCTTCAAAATGAAATGTTCTTAAGGTAAATTAATGTATAACTGTGCGAGCCGCCATGAATTAATTCATTTGATTGATGAATGATTCCAAGAAATTTCGAGCCTTATTTAATGGTAGAGTTAGGGAACGCGTTTACCTTCGGTAGTTTGTCAACAGTATCGTTGGTGTAATCGCGTGTTTCGCCGTCGGCCTGCAGCAGTCCGAGTATGGGCACGTCGACGGTAGGAGCCGGTTCCGTCTTCGTGCCCCCTCCGCCGCCTTTCTCACCCGTCATTATCTGTCGACAGATGGCATTTTTGTATCTTGCTCACATCTATCCCTTTTCATAGAACACGTAAAAAGCAAGCAAGCAGCGCATCTGATGGTAATTGATTATTGAAACCAATGGTATGGCCAAATCTGTGATCGGGTGACCTTGTGTTAACTCTTGTAAATTATTTACACGTAGTCTTCGCGGGTCAGCATGGCAATAGCGATCATTAACCGGACTGCTATTGCGAGCTCCAATTTCTTGACGATACTCCCACGACCTCGCATTGACCCTGACTTGGTCTTAAATTTAATTACTGTCGCCATGCATGTATTCAGTATGCAGTCATTTCGAAAACTGCATGCAATAAGTATTGCTAACTCCATTACTAGCGCAACATGATAGACAGGAGTCATTGTTCACAATTGGCATACTGACGCGCAAAGACAATAACATCGATGTTCCTCAAGATCATGCATGGGTGTACAAGTTTGATACAAATACAAGATTCACGTACGCATTGTAACAGGTCAAGGATAATTCATAGATTAAAATTTCAAGCGTTCAATATATAAGTAATGCACATTCAGGTCATCCTTAAAATATTATCGTATCCATAATAAAAAGCTATAGTACTTTGGGAGTTTTCGTAGTTCAGTTATCGTTGATTATCACCTACGACACCGCCTGACGGTTAACGCTTATGTGTAGAGAGACCGTATATACAAAATGAATGTGGACTTTAGCGTCAGGATACAGATATGTATACCAGTTGCTAAGCGCGGCTTCGCCCGCGTGGTCAAAGGGAATTAACAGTGAGTTTTTTACTATTTTGAACAATGCACACAATATCTTTATAAATTATAACCTTTGTGTTAACCTGATATCTATAATCTATATTATTGTAAAGTTTCGTTAAAATCCATTCAATAGTAATTGCGTGAAAAAGTAACAAACATCCATCCATACATACAAACTTTCGCCATAATATTAGTAAGGAAGTTAAGATGTTTCTCTGTTGATGAATTTGAAAGTCGCCTGCAAAATGGCCACCGCTTACCTGCTGCCCTTGGTCCGTCAGCGGAGCGGTGATGAGCACCCCGTGTTCGGGGAAGCTGTGGATGTGAGTGCCGCTCGCGTAGTACATCGGGTGGCCGCCCAGCTTGAATGAGCCCTCGAACACTCGGTCACCGAGCGCAACCTGTACCCCAAGCAGAGTCCAAGATAGATTGGCCGAAAAGCCGCTCCGCCGTTGACCAGACTTAGCAAAAGAAAACCCAAGCTGTCGACGCGGAAGGCCGTAAGCCGGGTACAAAAAATGTGCCGATAATTTTGTTATCATTTGCTTTCCACTATATAGCCAACTATTGGTTTTGTGCATTGAATTATTTTAGCCGTGCTACTCCTCTCCACCACGTTACTATAAAATTTCCGCTTCGATATTAAGGGTTGAATTTACAGCCTATTTTCCTTAGTGAGGTACCTATTTAATTGTTTTTTTAGAAATACATCTGGGACGTAGCTGGATCGCGTTGCAATAAGACAAGACAAACTCTTTAGTTTATTATCCTAATACGATTAGTTTAGTTAGTTTCGCATTTGCGTGACACGTACTTGGTACATGCTAAGAAGATCATTGAGAGCGGGAACGTTGGCCCCACCGGTTTCTGGAATCCACCTAAAAGAAAGTCAATTTTAATTCCAGTTTCGAAGTGAATCCAATGCAAATTAATTTTAAAGTGAAACATTTTTCCATCTCCTAAATTTTTTCGTCCATCTATCGCATGTCGCATTACAGCTGGCCACGGAGTAGGTAGGTATAAAGTGAAAAGGGCTCGGAAGAGCAGCTATGGCTCGCATCAGCTGACCGTGAAGCGTATATATTTAATTTGAATTAATAATTGTTTTATAATTATTAATTCAAATTAAATATATATAGGTTCCTGGAAATTTTCAATTAAATGCCCACGATCCAAATAAAAGTTTCACTAGCATCGTGGTTTCACAAAACCACACAATGTTCTTTATAGAGTAGTTTAAAATAAAACGTTTAATTAATAATGCTTATTATTGATTTTTAGAATAATTACCGTATTGATAAAATAAATAACGATTAATTATACGGAACCAATTCGATTATGGTTCGGTAATTTGTAATAAGCCAGATAAGTAAACACAGACGACTGATATTCATAAATAAAGGCGTTTAAAAGTCAGTAACTAATTGATAAACTTGAAAATTATTATTTAACACTACTGTCATTAAAATAATAATTAAGCTTCGTAAGGTTATCATAGTTTCTAATTACGTAAACAATGTGAGTGAGCATGTGACTTTGAACGTAACCGCACGTTTACGTTCAAAGTCACATGCTCACAAGATACAAATTCAGAAGTGACTTTGGAACAACGCGTGGCGCGTACGTGAAACACTGAAACTGAAAGAGTGCTTTTTGCGTGCGCATTTGACATGCGTTAGGGTGTTATCGTGATTGTTTGCGCTTTTTGCGGTCCGTACACTGTAAAAGTTAAGGTTACAACGAGCTTGGGGAAGAGTAACACATGTGCACATGCGTGCAGTAACAGAATGGAGTTAAAAAAAAAAAAAAAGGTCGAACCGGTATGCGGATGGTTACATAGACGGGCGAGATGGTATTATTCGGTGAGTGCTATTTTTAACCGAGATTCTCTGTTAAGTTGCATTCTTTTATGATTGTTACCTCAGAACTCCGTCATTTATGAAGCGATTATAAAAAAAAATATTGTTTTGTGTTCGGTCATTGGCATCGGACTCTGGACTCCGGAGACGCATAGGGGAAATCCTCAAAATCGAATAGGAAACTCTTGTTATTCGTCACTAAAGAAATGTTTAATCACCATTGCCTCGTGTTCTCGTCGTAGAACTTCACGTGGCGAAGCAGCGACGCATTGTACCAGTCGGCGAAAACGATGAGCGACATGCCGGCGTCGACCGCCTTCTTCAAGGTCGCCATCTCCTCGGGGAAGTATTCGTCTTCGGGGTCGACCAGCAGCAAGGCCCCGTACAACGATGTGTTGATGCACGTGAGTGGTGTCCCTGACGACGTAACATTTGTTGTATTGTAGCAATCCAAGAATAATTTATATTCGGGAAGATTGAAAAAGAGTGAAAACTCGTTGAAATGCTTGGTTACAATGTTTAATTACGTTAAAACTATTGAAAAAAATCTTTACTATCCTCGGACTGAAATGATTACGAGTATTTGTCGCCGTGCGAGTTTGCTTGGAAGTTGGGTGTAAAGAAATAAGGCACTAAGTACGGTACGCTTAAAGAGTTAATCCCCAATTTATCCTAATTCGTATTTTACCTCGTAATAATTGGTCGATCAGAAGTAGGTGAACAGACATGAGCGAACATGAACGAATACAGACATGTTAACCGATAACCTTATTTTCTTCGCTTATCTTGTTATATTACTCAATTTTAAGGTCAGATCGCTTTAAATTGTTTAATATTGTATATGATATCACTTTAAGAAATAAAGCCATCAGGGAATTCTATTGGCGTCTAGGGAAAATTGTCCTTTCTAGCTTCGTGATGAAATTGCAAGAGTCAACAGGACAATTTTAGTACAGGTTATATAAATTTTTTATCCATTTTAGAAAAAGCACTGCTAGCTTTGCTGCCCTTTAGTTTCTTCATTGACAGGCAATGTGTGATACCAAAACTAATTGTGTCTCAGTTACTTCTATGTCGAACTAGGAGTACAAATGGTTGTACGTAATAGTAATTTATTATTTTATCTGTTGTTATCAAAAGTTGCTTTTTACTATTTCCGAAATGTCACAAAATCAAACTATCTTCTTCTGATAAATAAAAATGAATGTTGGTAAGCGCATAAATAAGAATGGCTGGACCAATTTATTTTTTGTATGCTCTTTAAGGTCCACGGAAGGTTTTACTATAAAAAAAAAGAACGAAGTCTGGGCAGCTAGTTATTTATAATTAAAAATAAATTGAAAAGAGAAATTTTTGTTAAATTGAAAAAGCTCGGTTTATAAAAACTTATTGTCAAGAACACATTTCTATTGAGTGTTTTTTTTTATGTACATCTACAAAATATCCGCAGTCAACATTATAATACACGGCTTACTCCAAACGGCCCTCGACCTTAAGGTGTTATTAAAGATGCTAAAGCAGATTGATTGATGGAGGAAGGTGAGGCTGGAACCCACTCACCCATCACCTCGAGGTAGAGGCCGTGCTCGCGCCGGCGGCGGTACATGTTGCGGAAGTTGGTGAGCACGTGTAGAGCATGAGGCTGGAACCCACTTACCCATCACCTCGAGGTTATTAGCCGTGCTCGCGCCGGCGGCGGTACATGTTGCGAAAGTTGGTGTGCACGTGTAGAGTATGAGGCTGGAACCCACTCACCCATCATCTCGAGGTAGAAGCCGTGCTAGCGCCGGCGGCGGTACATGTTGCGGAAGTTGGTGTGCACGTGTAGAGCATGAGGCTGGAACCCACTCACCCATCACCTCGAGGTAGAAGCCGTGCTCGGTAGGAGCCGTGCGGAAGTTGGTGTGCACGTGTAGAGCATGAGGCTGGAACCCACTCACCCATCACCTCGAGGTAGAAGCCGTGCTCGCGCAGGCGGCGGTACATGTTGCGGAAGTTGGTGAGCACGTGTAGAGCATGAGGCTGGAACCCACTCACCCATCACCTCGAGGTAGAAGCCGTGCTCGCGCAGGCAGCGGTACATGTTGCGGAAGTTGGTGAGCACGTGAAGAGCATGAGGCTGAAACCCACTTACCCATCACCTCGAGGTTATTAGCCGTGCTCGCGCCGGCGGCGGTACATGTTGCGGAAGTTGGTGAGCACGTGTAGAGCATGAGGCTGGAACCCACTCACCCATCACCTCGAGGTAGAAGCCGTGCTCGCGCAGGCGACGGTACATGTCGCGGAAGTTGGTGTGCACGTGGTCGGCGTGCCAGTCTAGCGGGTCGTGCTTGGCGCGGAGGTCGTCACGCGGGAAGTACCCCCCTGGGTAGCGGAGGCTATGGAACTGATCCCACAGCAGGCGACGGCTCCGCACCGGCACCGGGATTATGCGCGCCCTGGAAACGCCGGAAGGTCAGCGGGGAGCCTCGGCCCAGGATTCGACAACCGACTGTTAAGTTTGTGTTCGATTTCACAATGCCAATGGAATGCCAGTAGGACCCCAAAATCCTCCTCATAAATGCTCGCAGGGTCAAGTTTTCGCTAAGCAGTGGCTATTGATAGCACCTACTACCATACTACTGTATCGATCGAACAATCGAAAATAATCGTATAGGCAGCGCCTAACTACGCGGCAGCTGAAAAGTGAGCGGCTATATGCAAACATATAAAAATTCTTTTATACGGGGAGGCTTTTCTAAAGGTGCCCAAATTCACACAGGAGATTCAGACTCACTTTTTTTAGAATGGCAATTTTTTTTTGAAAAATAAAACAGAACTTGTTGACTATGCGGTAGTCATTCATAAATACCAAAATTTTACTGTGCACGCACAAACTAAGCGCTCGCGACAAATCGGAGACGACCCGTGCCGGTACGCGGGCGTCCATAGTTTTGAGTCGTAAAAGTTCGTTCTCTTCCCCTCCACCCGCCCGCGGGGACCGCTCTATGCGGCCGCTACCAGCCCATCGTTAGTTCCAATTTGACCGTGACCTAATTATGGTGGCAAGTGCTGTTTTTAGATTTGCTTAACTCTAACGATGTCAGAAAAACAACGCAATTATTAGAATCGCGAGTATTACGAGATGGTACGGTGCTACATTTAAAGTGGAGAAAGTTTACGTGGTGCGTGGAGTCTTTATGAAAGTGACTCTTTACCGCGTTTACAAAGACAGGCAATGAACTCAAGTGTACCTACTACTTATCGAAGGACGATTTTAGGACGCAGATAATCAAAGGTTATTAGATTTTTGACAATTTACTACACCGGTGCATACAATGCTCAGACACAAGTAATGTTAAAAAATAGTTGGAGAAAGCGTGCTCAGCTTTATATTGAGAAATGGACTCCATTTTGAACAATTGTTAAAATATCAGTGAGTGTTGATTCCACTTTTTTAACAGGCCATAATAAGTTCGAACAGTAGTGTGTGATTTCAAAATAATAAAGTGATATTTTAGTATGCACTTTATTATGACGGTCCTAAGCCCGTTCTAATTATGAAGGAAAATTGGAATCTTAAACTCACTTGTGCTATGATGATACGCGTATAGTAACAAACTTTAGTTGTGTGCGTGTCACAATGTAATGAAATAGGTGTCGACGTATAAGCGTATACTTATGAAACGAACTTGTGTGCGTGTTAGTTATGATGATTGCGCGTTAGAATGAGTTGCCTCTAAATCATGCACTTTTGGAGATAAGTTCAAATGAATGTAATTAATTAATTACGAGTGATTTTAAATATTTATAGTTTTTTATTTAACAATATTTGTCTAGAATTTAATAAAAAAATGTATTAAAATATGTAGAAAAAGTGCGAAAAGCCGTTTAGCTCAGTGGCTAGAGCGTCAGGCCGCGAATGCCGAAGACGTGGGTTCGATTCCCACAGCGGCGACAATCTTTTCGCAACAATTTCAGTTCAATCTTAAGTGCAAAGATTAGCACTATAAACAATTTAAATTTCCAAAAAAAATGTATACACTTAGAAAAGCCTCCCCGTATATGTATCGAACTATTTCAGTAAAAGGCGCGTATACAGCGTGTCGTTACAACCGTGACAATAAATGAACCCACGTTTAACGCTACTTGACAATAATCATAAAAAAATTGAACTTCAAAAAAAATCCGTAACTTAAAAAAAATATTTTTCAAACAAACTAATTAAATAAAAAAGAAACAAAATTTCTAACATCCTATACCTCTACAACTGACTGATTCATACATTCAGAGACTTTTTCATTCGTTGCCATAGTGTCGCATTACAAATCTCTCCGTCTAACCGTGTGTTTTATCTCTTTTAAATTCATTCAACCCATTCATATGCTTTGTGACCTTTACAAATGAACTTTACGTTACAGTTTTATACGTAACGGTGTTCTAAATTTGTTTGTTTTGGAAAATGTAATGGTAAATATTGATATTTAAATAATGTAAATGTATAATACAATTTTAAAAAGTTATCCTTTATAATATGTGTGTTCATTTATTGTCGTGGTTGTAACGACACGCTGTATATTTATTAAATATAATTATTAGTACATTATTGTATTCTATTTGTTAAAAATCCTTCAACCTCTTTAAAAATTTGTAAACAGATCTACAAAAAAAAAAGTTAACATACTAATAGCCAGCAATAGTAAATTGTAGTCAGACTAGTTGGGAATAGCGCACAAGCGTGTAGCATACGAATGCGTCCTACACACGAGCATAAAACTACCTAGCAGTTTAGGAAAATATTGCAGTCGGTAACCAAATGCAATGCACAGCCCCTTGGCTATAACGTCACATCCGCCATTTTGAAATTGACGCCACTTATATCCCATATTAACAGGTCTAATGTTTAAATACCTTCTATCTTAAAATAAGAAATATATTTAAATAATAAGCATTCATTATTTTCAAGGTTTTGAGGATGAAATCGTTTTGTTCACACCAAACTTGGCAACTTTTAATTTAGAGTCAGTTAAGCTTCGACGGATAAGTTTAAGAGGTTAGATAAGATAATTTACCTTATTGGAAGCATAAGCGTCGCGTTTCTAAATTGATTCTCGCCTGTTTCATCGTGACTCTCTATTGTCACGTTGACGTGACCCTGTTTAAGCAACAATACAAATCTTAAATTAGTAATGAATATTTATATGTATTGTAATATATATATGTTGGTAATACAACAATATTTTCTTTTTAATATGTGGAGATGCTGTTATCATAAAAGGGTTTTTATCCAAAATACATGTTATACATCTTATAACAAAAAATAAGTCTAATTATGTCTAATCTGAGTGTTATGCATTTCTATGTGTGATTAGATTTTTAAAAGAAAGATCAATTTTTACACCCTAGCAGTGTATTATTATTTTCTATGAACATTTAATGTATCATGAACACTTATTTCGTAAATTCAGAGCCCTCGGAGGTGCCCTAAATTAACAGTTCTTTTAAAGAATAATTAAAAAGAAAAATTTCATCATTCCCAAATTATTCTACTCCTATGAATCGCTGTTCTACCTTCTAAGAACCTACTTAGGTCTACGCAGCTGACGTATAAAGAATAATATTTGATTTGCACAAAGTAAAAGTAAAGCAACAGTACACATAAAAAATTATTAAAAAAAAATATGAAACAAACAGATTCTATTTCTTTTCACATCAAAAGTTGTGAACTTAGCAGGCGGTTCATCTAATGTTAGGTGATATCTGTGGTACTTTCTCGGTACCGTGCGTTAGATTCGTTCAAACGCATTAGCTGATGCGTGACCCCACCACAGCAAAAAATATTTTTTTAAATTTTCGTAGCCAGTACCAGAAACCGTTTGGGCCGAATGTACATCTTTAGCAGTCCGTCGACTTACTTTCGGATATCCCATGATATTTTATACTCCTTTTTTATACGGGCCTGACCAGCGCTTGGCTGCCATGCCACCTGATGGCAAGTGGCAACGCCGCCGTCGACGGTATGCGCGTTAGCTCAGTAAAAGCCTATTCACTCTTGTCTTGAAGACGCCTACGTATCCCGGGATAGCTTTCCACTGGCCCGAGGGGCCGCCCGTGGATGGAGTACTCGCCTCCACCACGCCGTCGAAGTCGGCGCCCTCTTCCAGCACCGTGAAGCTGAGCGCCAGCCAGCCCGACCACGGCCAAAGAACGGCGCTGTATTCCGCAGACACGGCGAGCATGCTGCCGTGCGGCAAGTGCGGGTGCCAGCTGACATCTTTCTGTAACAACAACACTCGGATGGAAGCACAGTCAACGGGCATCGGGGTCACGGACCGCACCGAACCTCGATGGCCCGTAGGCGACAGGCCATAATTAACGCACGCATGAGTACATGCGCGGCCCTACCCACTGAGGAGGGCCTCAAACCCATGGGTTCTGGCCAGCCAGGTTCTGCGTTCGGTGAGGCTTTAATAGGCTAAGGAATGAACGCGTACGCATCAGTTATACGAAATACAAAAATCTGATTTTTTTATATTCGAGGGCCTGGCTGCTTATATTTAAAAAAAATATCATTTAGAAGAAAAGAAAAACATTGTTCCAATTTTAAATATCCGTCCACATTTTTATGAGAGTCACATTGAATTAACCTGTCTCATGTAAGAGTGGACGTGCATCGGGAACATTATCGTGCGATGATTTTTTTACTATTTCAAATGTGATCGACTTCAAACGGCATTTATGGATGAAATGCGGAGTTTCTAAAGAAACCATCTACTGTCGGCATAAGGAATTCAAATGCTGTTCGAGGGCGGTTAGGGAAGAAAGTGTCAGTGAAATATTTAATTCAAGAGAACAGGCGAATTACATACAAAGAGATTCAGCATACATTGCAGATTGGTTCGGCAAGAATACAATTTATACATATGAGCACATTCACACGAAGAAGATAGTTTGAAGTAGGCTCATCTCGGCGCGTATACGGCATTGTAACAGTTACTGAATCCAGGATTCATCAATACTATCCAGATACAAAGCGTCAGTCGACACTGGCTGTTTCAAAACAACGCCTACAAAAGTGAAGTGCACGGAAAGTTTGATCGCCAGTTTCATCACTTTGACTGGTTACATGGTCAAAGCCGAATGCTATACTACAAAAGGCTTTTTTTTTCTTATGTGAAAAGTTGCCAAACGAGCAGACGGTTCACCTGATGTTAAGTGAATACCGCCGCCCATGGACATCTGCTACACTCGAGGGTTCTAGATGTTGACAACCTTTTGGAAATAGGGCTCCGGCCACCTCACCCTCCCGACGAAACGCGAAAGTATTATACTTCCACTTTACGCCGGTCTTCTATGAGTTCGTGGTACTTACCCGGACGAGCCTGCCCATTCGTGCAACAGCCGAGGCTGCTGCGTGGCCCTACCACCGTTAGATGAATTTTGAATGAATAGAAGGCTCTCCAGAAGTTTTAAATGTAATGCCACTGCTCACCAATGACAACAGGGACTTCCTGAACACCATACCGTTCAAAGTCTTGGGTTGCCCTCCTTACAGACCCGTCCGTCGTTTATTCCGTAAAATAAAATATCAACTAAAAGGGATACAGTTTTCATCATCGATAGCTTTTGAGATAGTAGAGGTGTCTGCGGCCGACTGGAAAAAGTGCTTCGAAAATTGGTTCTGACGTACGAAACTTTTTAAAAAACATAATATTATTTTTAACGTTTACTTAAACTGGCTGAGCATAATAATTTATACTCTGTTGTTCGTTGAGTTGAGAGGTGAAAAATTGTTCAAAGACGTACGTAGTAGTACGTAAAAATTTGGAAGTGAGCTACGGATATAACTGTGGTAGGATCACACAACTGTGTTCACTGTTACACGATAGGGCAGGTCCGTCTGGGTAAGTACCACGTCGTCACAGAAGACGGGCGTAAAGAAGTGTTACACTTCTGCGTTTCGTCTGGTGAGTGAGGTAGACAGGTCCCACTTTATTTAAATGTGGCAACGCATTTGCGTGGTGTTGCACATGTTCTTGGGCAGGCGGTTATCACTTAACATCAGGTGAACCGCCAGTTCGTTTGCCACCTCCTTATATAAAAAAAATATATAAGCTCCTCAGTACAGATATATCTTATCGATCGCTCACTCGCGAGCTACACAACTGTAATAGCAGTATTCCGGTCGCTCACCACGTCGCCGGCGACTCCCAGGCCGTTGACTACGGTCACGTTGGCAATCGTGGGCTGCGCGCTGTAGTACAGCGGCTGCGTGCAGTAGGGCCACATGTACGTGCACTCGGTGAGGTCCATGTAAGGTGGACTCAGGCTCGCCTGCGGCGTGTACTCCCTCAGGAACTGGAAACGTCCAGAAACATTTGATTGGCGGCCGAGTCAGAAGAGCGCAGGTTATTTTTTTCGCGACACTTTTCGGCGTCGCGTAGGCAGTGACGTGTAATACGTTTGTTACATTATTTTGGAATGTATACGATTTTTTTCTAATGTTTAATATTAATGTTCCGAGCAAGGGGGTTGATGTCTTAAATGTCAACGACTTGAGATGACAGTTTCGAATGGTTTACTTGATGTATTTTAGAAATAAGTAGAGTAGAATGAAACAAGGTAGCTGGTTTCCGGAATTTTCTGTTAAAAAGACAAACGAAATTCAAATAGTTTCTAGAAAGTTTTAGACGCAAACACGATCGAAATTCAGACTACTAAAAGGGCACACGGAGTGCGTCGACATTACAGACGGCAGTTCTGCCTCTAAGAGGATCAATCAGTTCAACTCTAAGAGGAAGGAATAGGAAGAAGAAAGGACAAATGAAGTGCAAATAAGGAAACGCGTACGCAGAGGACGAAGCGTATGTGCGTATTTGTGCGACAATTGGAGGGCATCGTCACTGGAGGTTTGGTGCGCAACAAGATGGCCATCGCACCTATACTAGAAGTGAGGATTTGTGCAGCGGTATAAAGGCCGCCGTGCACGTTTTCAGTGCTTGCGATTCAAGCCAATCCCAAAATCATAGGTCGTAACATTAATAATTATCTAACCCGTAAACGATAAAAGCACTAATTCGGCAGCCGGTTTAATGTCAAATTTATAAACAAGACAATGTTTCTAATCGAAAATTATGTAAAAACAAATTTGCTTGATATCAGTTCAACATAATTAAAATGATAGTATTTTATATTTATATTTTATTGTCTTATATATTATATATAAGACAATAAAATCACTAGTACCGAAATAATCTAAGGAAATAAACAAAGACAAAACAACAAGGTGACCTTACGCCATCTATGATAAATGAAATATAGATTTTCTAAGGATCCCATTCAACTAAATTATATTGTTCACGATAGATATCGCTATACGGTCCACTATGGATTGCCTATATAAGGCACTCGAATCTTAAGGGTACGAGGCGTCGAAAAAAAAGTGTTACATTCTATCCAGTTGATACTAACGATCTGGGTCTACTTTAGTGTTAGGATTTTCTTATTTCTACGGAATTATTGATATTTGCCAACATTTTTAAGCAACTAATAATGAAATTTCAGCTAAAATGATCCGTATCTCTGATTTTCTTTTTTTATATGAAAAGTTACCAAACGAGCAGACGGTTCACCTGATGGTAAGTGAATACCGCCGCCCATGGACATCTGCTACACCCGAGGGTTACAGATGCGTTGAGAACCTTTTGAAAATTGGGCTCCGGCTACCTCACTCACCAGACGAAACGCGAAATTATTTGTCATACTTCCACTTTACGTTGGTCTTCTGTAAGGTCGTGGTACTTACCAGGACGGGCCTGCCCATTCGTGCAACAGCCGAGGCTGCTGCGTGGCCCTACCACCGTAAGATGATTATACGAATGATGCTAAATAATCACGACCTCAATTAAATTTAATTACGAAATAAACAATTCTAAAGAAACACAACGATAGCTTGACGTTATCGGCAGGAGAGGTGGGAGGTGAAAACACAACGGGTTATTAGAGGCGCGTCGACTATTGCGTACTCTGCGACGGTTTGTGGCGACAATGCAAACTGGCACCTGGTAAGCGCTGATTAGGTCCAGTTTCCCGTGGCCCTGCTCGAACATGTTGGAGGCGGGGAGGCGGCGGGCGGTGATGCAGAGCGCCTGCTTGACGGCGGCCGGTGTTAGGTGCTGCCGGGGCACGCCGCTCGCTAACAGAGCGATCGCTCCAGCCACCACTGGTGACGCCACCGAAGTGCCTGCGAGCAAACCTCTCGCTACAGCCTTCAAGGATAAGCGAAAGTAGCATTCGAACCCTGGGGCGCCCCTAGCAACTATAACAGTTAATAATAAAGCCGAATAACAAATTCAATGATATAGTCGAATAACACACTCGATATAACACTTGAATAATACAGTCGAATCACACATTCAAATAACACACACGAACAACACAGTCGCGCCACAGTCGAATAGCATAGTTCACGACCGTCGGTACACGGAACGTAGATTAGACGGTGGTTAACAGCGTCTATGATAGCCCGGACTCTTAAATACCCTTGTTTGATGCACGCATCTCTACATGCGTGACTCTACTATGATAGGGTCTATCAAGGTCGAGCATTCATGAGTTTTGCGCGCGATGACTTTAGAAACTCTTTGTAAAGCCTAAGGGCTGAAAGCGGAAACGTAAATAAAAAACAAACCAAGGGCACCTACAATACTAGCAAGTACCAGCTGAAACGTTTGAAAATAGAAATACTTTCATAGGTAAAGACCGAATATCCTACGTGAAATTGTTTGTACAGTAAAAAAAACTCAAGTTCATCAATTGATCAAAATTCGAAATGATTATGATTATATGTCATGTCATTTTCAGTGAACGCAAATAAAACATGGAAGGCGCACGTTCATACATGTGATTGTTAATAAATAGCACCACAACACACACTAACAATAATCACGCACAAATCAATAATACACTTGTTTTATCTTCAAAAAGAGAAAACCTATTTGTTAGTTTAACTAAATCTATAAGACAAATCAATTTGTACAATACGCTAATTTCGGCGTTTTATAAATATAACTGTTTATAAGGTGAAGGCAATCATGCATTTTATTTATAACACAGAAACCATTAATATTTAGCCGTCTACAAGAAAGATGCACCAGACAGTTTGGAGATGTATGTGTGGAAAGGGAGCAAATCACATACCACTAAGGGATCTGCAGCCTCCGGACACACTGGATCCCTGAACACCGCTGCCGTAAGTAACAATATCTGGTTTCATTCGACCGTAGCCCTGAAATGCAATCGTACCATAATAATTATTTACTTCATCTCACTTAACACATACATAGAATTTTTGAGTTTTTACCAATAGTCGGAGCGTATTATGAAGAAGGTTTATAGATGATCTATATTAGATGTGCAATTCAATAAGATTTCGTGTAAATTGGCTCAATTATGATGGTTTCAAACCCGTGCATAGCCGGGTCGGATCGCCAGTACGTTAAAATATGAAATATAAATTCGTCAAGCACTAACAACAAATGGCGCCTGGAATTGGACGTTAATAGAGTTAATTTTATGAAATTCAGTTTGTCTAATTAATATCCAAATGGGAACACACCAATAACTTTAACAACAAAATCTTTTCAACTCCCCTTTTGTGCAATTACGTTTTGGAAGAAGCAAAACGTGTTTACCTGAACATAGATTAATGTTAATTTTCATGAAACGATAACACTTCAACAGGCCGAACTAGGAATTAAAACGTGTAATTACATGATTAAATAATCAAACCTTGAATAATAGAAGTGACAATAAAGAAAAGAAACTTACGTTTGGCAACTCCCACGTTGTCATTCCCCTGGAGGAGAATTTCGCTATACGATCATCGAAGCCGATGCCGCCGACACCAATGACATCCATCTGGTCAGCGGGATTGTTAAGAGTGCCATATAGCGGTCCGTCGTTTCCAATCGCCGATACCATTATCACCTGAAACGTTTTATCAAATTTAAAGCAATTAGCAACTAGCAGTTTCAACCACTGTTCATTGTTCGGGGCGGACTTAAATTTGTCTCAGTGACGTTGGCTCGGCGCGGCTAGTATGTACTGTCAAATCCAAGAATTGCTTAACACAACTTCATAACATCTAAAAACGAATGTTCTCAAAACCTAACGCAACTTTTTGGCAACTGTATTGAAAGCGAGAGACGTGGAACGTAATGTTGTCCTTATAAAATGTTAACTGCGTTTACCTCTGACGCATAAACTGAGAAGTGACTCTGACATTAAAGACTTTCACATCGCCGATTTTAACATTGAAGAACCGGATAACAATTTTATAAGCCTGCCATAAATAGCGCTCAGATAAAACGCAAATAATTCAATTACACCAAGAGCTTACTAAGCGTTCTTTATTATTATGCTGATACTGTGCCCTCTACGCTTGGCAGGCAAGATTGTGTATGAATACGGAAAACGAAATAAGCTCAAAATCCGCACACCTTGTTCGCGCTGAGCTCCCACACCTTATCAACGAATGGATGATCCATGAAGTCCGGGCCACCGATGCTCAAGTTGAGAACGTCGATTTTCCTCATGATGGCGTAGTTGAACGCGTCCAGGAACCATGAGGTATAGGAAACCTAAACATAAAAACAAATAATATTAACATAGTCCGTCCATGAACACTACGCGAACAATATATTTCATGTAATATTAGCAAGTATACCCATTTAGTGACACACAGAGTTTATCAACTAATCACTAACTCTTCACAAACAAACTGCAAAAAAAATGTTTCGTGGAGAGGGTGCCTTATAAACAGTACCTCGATGTAGTATAAATCAGTGTGAAAATATCAATGCGAAATCAATGTGAAAATATCAGTTATCACAATATACAACTGATCTAATTGGTAACAACACTTTTGCAACTATTCCATAATAATCTGTCTCACGCTAAAATAGTCAACGTTAATAACGTATGAATGATAGCTACCTAAACGACGAAACAGAAACGTTGGACAAAATCATAATTCCATTTACTTAATACATAATATATTGTGACAATGTTTTATATTTATCTACTTCAATAAATAAATGACTTAATGAATGAGACGTAATAACTGAGATACAGTATTTTATGTAGACATGCATTTCATTGCTTAATTATTCGTAAACCATTCTAAACTGCTATTATATTACCAATAATTCTGATACAGGTTTTTAAAAATACAAACCACAAGTTTTTTCTTTGAAATTGCCAAATTTTCATAAAACATCGTTGACTATCTACCTCTATATATTTCTTTTATCTTTTGGGTTTGTAGTTAATGTATTCGTCTGCGCAATAGCTGATTTCAGGTCTCTACGCACTGAAAGCCATATCACTCTATATTAACCGGGCAAACCCACGCATTTGATGAATTGGACACGCTTGAACTTTTCCCCCAACATGCCGCTTTTAATTCAATATACTCGCGTAACCCGAGTTCAAATCCCGGTGCCAACACCAACCAAAACCGCGAGTTACGGCAGAAGCCGCGAAACTATTAGCTACACCACGGTTTCAAACTAATTTTATAGATTTTGCCGTAGACACGAAGACAAGATGCGCTCACCGGCGATAGAAAAATCTTCACGAGGAAACCTGCACGCTTTCGAAACAGTAGTGAAACATCGAGTCATCGAGGACATCTGAGGTGCGCCAGTACGCGGTAGAGTTGCGTGGTGGGCTATCCCCACTACCCTATGTACGGAGGTGGCCTTTGCCCAGCAGTGGGACATGTATATGCGCGAGTTGCTCGCCGGCCACAGTACCTGGTTGTCGGTGAACACCCGGAATATGTGGAGATCCGCGTCGGGTGCGAACCCTAGGCAGTCGGCCCGCGAGGCTATCACCCCGGCCACGAAGGTGCCGTGGCCCAGCGCGTCGTCCAGGGTGTTCTCCCCGGTCCAGTCCGTGCGCTCGCGGACCCTCCCGAAGTGGGGGTGGTGACGAGCCAGCCCAGTGTCGAACACCGCCACTCGAACACCCTCGCCTGTTCGGACACCAGAGGAATTAGAATCGCATTATTCTTCGTACATGATTATGAAGCTCGATAATGAGCCAGCTGCATTCGTCGACTTCCTGCCCGGGATGCTATTTCATGGCAGTCTGGGAGCAGGCTTACGTTCAGCAGTGGACTCGCAGGCTGATGAGATGATGATGATGATATTGCGCAATTGTCGTATAATCAACTTTATACGACAATTGGTACGATGTGGCATGTTCATTTTTTAAACCAATAGCAATATAGACTTCTATGAAATTATTTATCTGTAAACTACGCAGTGCTCCATTGTTCATGGGTTTTTTTTTAGTTTTTACTTTTTATTCTATGATTCAGATTCAAATGTATAAAGTACTTAGGTAATTCATATAATATAACAAAAAGCTTATTATTGACGATTTTATATTTTATTATAATAGTAATTGTTTATTTTCCAGAATAGAGAAAAAAATTCACGTTAACAATAAGTTTAAAATATTAAACATTGTAATCTACCTCAATTTGTTATTAAAATATTTGTAAAGCATTGTTATAATTAGTAACAAAATGAAAATTCAAATTATACTAAAAATTCAAAGTAAATAATAAGTCATAAATAATAATGTCGCGGTAATGAATTTTCAAATTAATACACATTCTAAATAACAAATAATAGTTTATATTATATAGTAATTATTTTTTATTATTTTACGTAAAATACTTTAAATACCTATGAACATATATACATCTTTCTTTGATTTACATGCATAGCAGTGGTAGTACCTGTAGTTATTTTAAATATTAGCGTACAGAGGCAAGATATGGAGCTCCTGCTACGCTAAATTTTTCAGTACTCTGAAACTATTATTTATGTTTTAAATAAAAGAAACTCAACTTAAAACAAATTTAACGGTATTTATTACGTAATACGCGTATTATTTATGAGTTCAAATATTCGGATACTTGTTAGTTACAAAAAATCCCGATAGAACTCTTAAACAATTTGTTATTACAATGATGTCATTCCTACTATATGGAAATGTAATGCTTCTCAGCTGCAAAAACAATTACAGAACTTAACCAACATTTTAATGAATGTTATTTGTAAATTTGTACAAAAATTATTATGTAATAACTAAAATTATTACATGGACTTACTAATCATTTTTCATCAAACGTTTATATGCAAAACTTCAATTAATAAAATATGTTTCGTCATATATTTAATGTTTATAATGTGGTTGCCTGGAAAAATCACTGCTAAGCGATAAGGCCTCTAATTGTACCTTTATATCATTTTTTTCTGATGTGCAATGAAGCATATACCATTCATTCATTCATATTTTTTTGACTAATTATATAGTTAGCTTAAATACATTAATAACAATGAACGCAAATTAAGAAATAAAGCAATAGAGAAGAATCAGATATTGATAAACAAATAAGATAATAATAATTCTTAAGAATAATTTGACAGTGCTAGAATAAGCAGTACCTATTTAGTATTGATTTTGCATCAATGTTATCTCTTTATAAAGAATTTCAAGTGAATGAGTTTTTTTTTCTCATAGAGTTTTCGTTATATTAAGGGAAGAGAAAAAATTAACCGAATTTAACCAATTACCATAATTTTGTAAACACATATTATTCTAATCACATATATTCTGTTAACTTTGCCTAACATGTTTTAGTATGCCAATATTTGTTTCGTAGTTTTTAAAGTATTTTGTGCATATCTTGGGATGTGGTGGAATCATCACGGCTCATTATGTCCTCAGATATACCAAAAAAAAATTTAACTAATTTCTTCATTATAGTTTTTCGTTATAACGATCGACGTTATAAAGAATTTACACTGTACATGGCAGTACTATACTAATATATAATTTTCATGGAAAAGACCTGTTACACCAAGAGACCAGAGCAGGTCAGCCTTCAGGACGGATGTTATTTGCCTCGGTACCGTTCTTAAAAGTTTTCTTGATGCATATCCACCATCCTGGAAAATTAATACATTATCAGTACATTTAAAATAACTTTTCTTTATATATTAATTGTAATTTGTTTAGTGGTTTACTGGTTTACCTAAAGACATTTATAACACCAGTGAAATTGCTGTAGCAGTGTCAGTTTAAAGTATGCACCTTGAATACCTCACTCGCCAGACAAAATATTAGAAGTACAAATACTTATTATTCTATATTAATCAATATGATGGCTTATTCGAGGTTTATGGTTATATCATAATTTCATTCAATACAAATAATTTCTGGGTAATAATTTAAACTTTGGTATTTTGTATTCAAATAATATAAGAAATAATTAAAAGTTCAGATTATAAATAAAATATTACATCTCGTGGTTTCCGGAAGGAGTGTAGGGCTCGGGCGCGATGATTTCTCCATCCTGAATATAAACATCCATTGGGGCCGCAATCATCCTGTTATCAATATGGTATTTAAAGTGACCTAACTTCGACCATGATACCCATAGTCTAATTTACAGGAATGACCACAATACTACATAAAAGAAATATACTATCTTCAATAAACATTCAGATTAATTGAATGAATACAAGATTATAAATTCAATTACAATTCCATATGATTTTATAGAAATATATCTGTTATCATCATCATGATCATTTTAAGCCGCAAGATGTCCACTGTTGAACATAGGCCTCCCCTTAGAATGAACGACAGCAACCACATCACAACAAATAAAACTTTTCCATTTGCATCTATCAGTTGCCCGACTCTTATGACGTCGTCGGTCCACCTAGAAGGAGGCCTTCCAACACTACGTCATCCTGTTCGTTTGTCGCCACTCGAGAAACTTTACTCCCCAACAGTCATCAGTTCTTCAATCGATGTATATCTGTATAATATATAATAATTATATATACTTACTTCAGGCAAATATTTTATCGTGCGCTGAACTATTCGCTGTGCAGTTACTCGGCGGACAGCAGGATGATCACGCAACGCATCAAGAGCAGAGTGACCAGTTTCATTCAAGACAATTACATCAAAATCGCTTGGGTATTCCTTTGCAGGATTATCTCGTTTAATAATTGTCCAATTGGAAACCTTTTCATTAATTAGGGCGAGTTATAGTCAGAATATAATTTTATAACATTGAGAAAAGGAAAAAAATTTTTTTTAAAAATAACAGTAAAGTCCATTTTTCGAAAATGCAATATATGTTTTGCATGCATGAATTGGTGTTTTTTTACATATTTCTTTGTTAAAAACAGTAAGATATAGAATTATTCGAATTTATCTAACAAACATTTATATTACAATATAAACATTTCTCCTAAATTATGCCAACTGGCCTTTATTATAAGCTCTACCTCTAATTTTTTGCAACCAGCTGATATCCCTCATTGGGTTTTGTTTAAAAGAAAATATTTATATTTCCAAAAAATTTACACTGGAAACATGGCAAGAAGTTACTTCTTAATCAGGTGCACCAAAATAACGATTTCTCTATAAACTTCACCAAACCATCACATATCAAAATTTCTTATTATTGCAAATAATATGCTAAAAATATTACTCAACTAATAACAGCAGGATAACTCAAAACAAAGAATAAAGACAGAATAATCACATTAAAGATACAAAATCAAGGGTAAAACTTTATATAAGACTTACAGTACAGTCAAATACTGTGTCTTATATAAAATTTTATAGGTTTATGAATCTATATATTCTACTAGAATGCTTGCTTCAATTCATTGTTAGTTGTATCTATCATTGGAGGGTAAGAAATTAATAACTCAATATTGAATAAGTAGTATGTAGAATAATAAGAGCTTAGCATTGAAAACATTTTGCAAATGCAGTTAACAATGCAAACACTTAAATGAAGCAATGTTAAAAATAAATAAGGATTATAAACTCCTTATCTACATAGATAACAGAAAACAAGCAAGTAAAAAAGGACAAACAAGGTTTTTGACATAAAACATATATTTTGATTCAATTTTGTATCTAAATAACTTCTTATATGCATCTCAGCTAACTTTAATGTTTAATATTAGCATAATATATAAAACTACAAAATATATAAAGTATCTGATAAATACTTCAAATTTTAAAGACTTTATTCTGCTGTTTTCTCTGTTCCAGAATTTTAGTCGATTTATAAATTCGGAAGGAGACCTCAAAATATTAAATAATTAATGCATAAACTAATAGCTTACCCCTGCATTGTTTAAAGCCGCAGTCACGTAATTTTCTCTTGTTGATCTTGAGAAATATCCTTTAAATGTAATAATATGTTCGCTTCCGACTACATCCGTACTAAATTCATATTCAACGCGAGCTGAATTTGTGTTATTGCATACAACATGGGAGCCGCTTTCTTCGCCAGCAAAAACAAGAAAATGCCTAAAACCTAATAAAAACAGAAACAGTTTATGGGTCATACCCATGTTTACAATTATTTTCCTTCTAAATGCGCCATATTTAAGAACTAATTACAAATTAATAAGTCGAATTTTATAAAGTTCTTCATGCCATTTTTAAAAAAAATGTTTTAAACTATAAAGGTATCCTTGATGAGCATAAAATTATTTATCATTTGCAAACAGAACAGATAGCACACTGTCTGTTCTGCTGTTCTGACTAAGAACATTAATTGTTGTCAAGTCAATGTCATTTGTCAATGATGTGAACACGGAATAGAGAAAACAAGTGGAAGTGCCGTGTCTGCGTAACGACGACACAGTTAAGCGAAAGTGTCACTAACTAAAGGGAACAATATAATGCTGTATTGCGAAATTTATTATATATTTTCGGCTATTATTTTTGCAGTCTTACTGCAAAAACTAAATTTCTTGTTATTCTGTATAGATAATGACTTTTGGGTGTTTATATAGATCATAATGTTCCTAATTTTGAAAAGGCTTTTAAAAACCAACAGACAAGGCTAAACAGCGTGTATGTTTACCCTTAAGAACAATATTTATATAAATCATAAAATTAATTAACATGAGCTGGTAATGTCCGTAATTCTAAACAAGCTAAGCTTTGGTATTCAATTTTACCACATGATTTCTAAAACTGTGCTTTATAAATGGATGCAAGATTGATGGCCATAAAATATCTGATGATATATTTTATACATATATTTTCATATGTTTGTCCTAAACAATCTTCACTTATTTTACCTGGACTAAATGAAGTGATTTGGCCGAAATTGCCATTTATCACGAGCCAAAAGGCTTGAAACTATTGTTTGATGAAAAGTATTTTCCGAAAACAACCTATTTTCGATCTATTCATGTCCGATGTCTATGGGTATGCAGACGATAGTTTTGGAGAGATATCCACCGAGTTTTCGGATCGGTAGAGATCTCATTCAGTCTAAAGAGAAGCCATGGTAGAGTGTTTGCATCTTACATTGCTGGCGCTTTTTGAATGGGGCGATGCCAATCTTGTGAGATTCGACGCAAAAAAAAGAATCTTCACCTTGGCTCCTACTTTCCGAAATGTGTCCTTGGATTATAACAACCGCCTTCAACTGTTGGGAGTCGAAATATCCCCAAAACATCAACTTTGGGCATTTCATTGAGTCTAAAGCCAAGGCAGCTGTAAGGAAGTTGCAAAAGTGCGACAGCTTCTTACTCTACACAAAGCTCCAATCATGTGTGGAGTACTACTGCCATACCTGGGCTGGGGCTGCAAAATACCATCTAGACAGATGGCATTATATATCTTTGGACTCAATGGAGATGCGAGCAGCAAGGCTCATTGCTGACCGTAACTTGGTTAAAACCTTGAGCACAGGCGCAGAGTAGCTAGCCTCTCGGTTTACTACAGGATTCTTTTCATTCCCCCTTTATGCTTTCGACTTTTCACGCACAAGCATAACGCGATTCACAACATCGATCATCCTCCGTAAAGCTGAGAAACGGACCGGCATCCGTTGTTCCGTCCGATTAAAAAAAGCGTTTACAAGGAAAGAATGAATAGGTTCTTAATGAGCTAGCGCACTTATCAACAACGTCTGCATGGCCACTTACCATGCAGGGGGGATGGCAGTCAGTTTCGGATAAAAAAAGATATTTGTTCCATTGAAGTTTCTTCACGACGCTTCTTTTCCGATGTTACTCCATGGAGCGTCCGCCAAAGGGACTTGAGAGCTGGGCGGCCTCCACCAAAAAACCGAATGACAACCTAACCATGACTCTTCTTAGGATTGGCTTCGATCCCCTACTATATTTAGTGCACGTTATAAGCGGATCATAATCTGGGCTTTGTTTGGTAGCCTATAGGGCTGTGACTATAGGCATATACTATATGCCTATAGTCACAGCCCTATAGGCTACCAACTCATATTGTAATCCTTGCTAGGATAATACGTACGTAAATTTTCCCCATTACCCTTACTGTGGGCTTATTCGGTTTAGGGATGGAGATGTGTTTACTTCTCCGTATCAGCGAAGGAATTCATAAAACACGAAATTTCATAAATTTAAAACAATAATATTGAAACATACATAGAATAGTGAAACTGTTCTCATCGTTTAAGACATTTCATTTAAAAAAGGCAACGAAATTAAAAAAAGAGTATATCCTTTTATATTCACATAGGATAATATCAGAAAGAAATAATTATATAAACGCACTATTATTTTTTTAGCTACAATCGTAGTCGTGGCTGACTTTTAATGTCAGTGATGCAATAATGCAAAATATATTTTATTACACACTTCGCAATGGCTTAATACTAGTATATATTTTATAGTGATTGTAAAAAGAAACATTTAAATTTGCCTTAGCTGTACCAATTTTTGCAAAGATGGCTTACAGTTTAGCTGATAGGTTCCCTAAATTACCCACATATTACCCGCTCCTCGACCCAGGAAAATATGAAACAATCGCAAATGTAAAGCAAAAAGTTAATGTAGCACCATTTCTTTCCAAATCACCTCGTGTTACTCACCTACCTTACAAAATTTGGACACATGTTATTTATTCTGCTGGTCATCCTCGGAGAATTCCAAATTGCTCAACAATTATGTCAAGACTACCACGCTTTCCCTATGAAGTTTTAAAGGAAGACGACTTAAGCGAATTTATTTGCGAGTGCGATATTCAACAAAAGTGTGAATGTATACCGGAAAAAAAGGAAGAAAATGTAAAAACGGTATCAAAACGGCGTCATCGTATATTCACAGGTCCGCTACCGAGATTAAATGTAGACAGCAGTATATCACGTCCGTGTACAACTTACAAAGGGTATAAAATTTGTCCCAATAAAAACGAAAATAAAATTCTTGACCAAGATAGTAGAAAAACTCTTTATTTTAGAGGTAACGACAGACAAGAATTTTCTGCTTTTTACCAAGGATGCAAATGGAGTAGCTGGACTGCTAAAAGAAAGGTCGAAACTGTAGACGGAAGGCCGGGGCCTACTTCATATAATGTTGTACAAGAGCCGACTCAAATTTATATCTGTGGAGAAAAAGTCCGAGCCAGCAGACGTAAAACTTCAAAACAATATCGATATATAGAAAGTATTCAACAAAAAAATAGGAGAGAAAATCTACCAGGGCCTGCAAGTTATAACCCAGATTATCCAATGGGGCCAACTCTGAGATTTATTGGACCAAAAGCTGAAAGATTTCGCTTCTATAAGTACAATGATATTCCTGGGCCCAGTGACTACAAAGTTAAACGAGATTTTGATTTGCGAGAACCATTAAAAAATAGATGTCATGCTATATTGCCTGAGAATTCCGGTTTTGGTGTAAAAGCCCCAAGGTTTAAACCTATTAAACATGAAGGCCCAGGACCTGCTCGTTACAATACAAATCACAAGAGTTGTATACTTACGCACTGTCCAAGAGCACCATTCGGTTCTTCTACAATAAGATTTGCGGATGATCATGATGGGGATGAATTCTTTAATGACGAGGACGTCTGTTTACAAAAAAAGAATATCGAATGTACAAAATCACATGAAAACTGGATGTTTAAGTCCCACACTTTAAGGATGACGCCGCTAAGAAAGAAACTTGATGTTCCTAGCCCTGCAGATCTTTCACTTACAAAATTTGCAAAAAGACGGTCTCAGCACTTACAAACTAAAGCACCTTTCGACGGGTCACAGGTTAGATTTCAACCGTGGTTTAACTGGACTCCTGTTCATAATATGGAAGATACACCTGGGCCTGGCGAATATAAACTCGATAAAGTATCATGTTTGCCGGCAGTAACTAGAGGACCAGTTTTTCGCTCTGAGCGATTTAAATGTTACCCATCACAAACGCCATCGTGTAATGTGTATAAGATCAATAATGGCTTAGAAAACATTTTGCATACTCATAATGTAAAACTAAAAGACAACATTACCAAAAAACATACATTTCGCTGGACAGGATTGAGGCCAAATAAAAAATTGAGTGATAAAGAAAGAGAATCGCACTTAATAAATCGGTGTATATCTTTATTAAATACAGATATTTTTGGTGCCAGATATTTAATTACTGAAAAGCAACATTTTAATTCGAAAATAGCACAAAAAGAAAAGAAAAAAATGTTACGTTGTTTTCTGAATAAAACTGTAATACCTAATTATTTTTAAACCATTTTATATCATCATGTTCATGTATGATTGTGTTAGCATGTTCATGTATGAAATCTTTGAAATTAGATATACTTATAAATTAATTTATAATCATGACATTAAATATAGTTAAACAGTGCGTAATGTTATTCTAATATTTTTCAAACTAGTGGTTTTTATACAGCGTGGCGTTACAACCGCGACAATAAATGAATACACATATAGAGGATAACTTTTTAAAATTGTATTAAACATTTACATTCTTTTAACATCAATATTTACCGAGTTATTAATTAATTTAAATTTTCCAAAACAACCAAAAAAATTTTAGAACATCCTTACGTATAAAACTGTAAGTTCATTTTTAAAAGTCACAAAACTATGGAAGGAGAGACTTGTAATGCAACGCTGAGGCAAAGAAAGAAAAAGTCTCTGAATGTATGAATCAGTCAGTTGTAGTTGTATGGTATGTTATAAATTTTGTTTCCTTTTTACTTAATTAGTTTGTTTGAAAAATATGTTTTTTAATTATCGATTTTTTTAATGTTTATATTTTTTATGATTATTGGCAAGTAGCTTTAGACGTGAGTTCATTCACTGTCGCGGTTGTAAGACGACACCCTATAAGACTAAATTGTCATGGACAGCCTTCAAAAAATGATAGAAAAGTTCGAAAACTAACAGCTATAAGCACAGGTAGGAAAAAGTGTTCTTTGGCAGAGTACGTTGCTAGTGCAATTCATGCCGATCGTACTGTTCGTACAGTGGCCCTATATCTGATAATATGTCAGATGTATAGATACGTCAGAAATAGTTTATTGGTTTAATGCTAATGATGTACTTTTAAAGGGCAATAAAACTAAATGTATAAAATTTTCGACACCTAATGTTATACGCTTGTGTGGTACCAATGTACTTATAAACGTGTAGGATATAGGCCTAGGTATCCAACCACAGTCTTTCTTGAAATAACTCTTGATTCAAAGCTTCAGTGGGACCCCGTATAACCAAACTTGCTAATTAAAATGCCAATTTTCACATGTGAAAAACTATTACAGTTCAAAACCTATTGCCATGAAAATGACATCAAGCTATTAAATTCAATACTTTACTAGCGCAATAGAATGAATAGGTGGAGCAACAGACCAGAGATGACATTAAAAACTTTAATTACTACATTCTGATCATTAAAAAGATCATTCTGATCAATGAGAGTTCAAAAATCCTTTTGACAGCTGATGAATTGACTGCTACGATGATCATTGTTTCAGAAACCGGGCATAAATCTGCTAGCAAGTTTGGATATACGGGGCCCCAATTGAAACTTTGAATCAAGATTTATTCCAAGAAAAAAAGTGGTTGGATACCTAAAAAGGCCTAAATCCTACCCATTTATAAGTAGAGTACACTAGCTGTTGCCCGCGACTATGTCCGCGTGGAATAGGGTGAAAGCGAAAAATTCTGACAAATACAGACAGATATCTAAACATATATTAAAAATGTAACTAGTCTTTGTTTGTGCATGGAAGATATTTGAGAAAAACTATTATTAAACGGTCAACGCAATAGAATCTAAAACAATGGCTGTTTAAAATTGTCTGTGTGTATGTGCGTTTTTGCGCGCTAATCTCGGACGGCTTGCCCGATTTGCAACTTTGACTAATGCATTATAGTACTTAACACTTAGTGTTAGTTTTATTCAAATCGGTTCATAATTATAAAAGTTATATCAATTTAAAAATGTAATAGATAGTAATAGTAATAGGTCTGTAAAATGATGATGATTGTTAGTTGACATAAAGTTAAAAACCGGCCAAGTGGAAGTCGCACTCGTGCACGAAGTATATACCAAGTATATATACCATACCATAATCTATAAAAAAGGCAAAAAATAATGTCTGTTGAATGAGAGGTTCCCTTAAAAAATATACAGATTTTTTTATTTGTTGTTATAGCGTCAATACATCATCTGTAAAAATGACAACTATCTAAATATAACGGTTTATGAGATACAGCCTGGTGAGAGACGGGTGATCAGTCTTTTTGTTTGAACTCGCTAATCTCAGCGACTACTGGTCTGATTAGAAAAATTCTTGCACTGCTAGAAAGATCAGTTATTGAGGAAGGCTACTTTTTAAGTACGATATAAAATGTAGTACATACGGGCCGAGCCGCGGGCGAAAAGTTAGTGTACAATAAAACATCACTCTATATACAACATTCAGTTTTGCCTTCTGGGAAACAATAACTCCGGGTCACACAAATAATTTTCCCGTGTGAGAATCGAGCCCACGCCGAACGCCTTGATAACTGCGCCATGGTCAGTGATCAAGCGAGTGGTATTCGCAAAATAAACACATTTTTGCCTGAGCCACACCCAGTGACGATGTCCGCTTCAATTATGAGCCTTTATAGAGAAGTTACTTTAAGAAGATGTAAATGGAACCCGCCATTGCACTATTTTACACCGACTTTGAGCGGGATTTTTATGAAGAAAGGCCACTGGCAGTAAGCGAACTAAAAAACTCAACCGGCTAATTTGTGCTTGGTCATTGCTTGCAGTGGGCAAAATGCGTTCACATAACCAAGAATTTTCCTGATGATATTGGTTATATGAACACTTGAAAGTTCTCCAAATACTGATCTTATCAGTTTGTTTTCGGAGAAAACGACTGTACCAAGTATGTCTATAAGACACACCTGCACATTTTACTCTGAATGGATATCCATTCTGCCTTCTTAAATTTTAACAGAACATCGGAAAATTCTGGGGCATGTAAATGGAGTCCGCCCGTTAACTGTCAACCGCAACTTATGTTTTTGAGATCAGAGATAAGAACGCTTCCGTGAGGCATTTATTTCTTCGCTTTAGTCCCCTGAGTAATGAGAGAAAGGGTTTCGAAAATCTACAGAGAAAACAACTGTGACGTTTCCCATCGGCCTCTCATCTCGGTGTATGTACTGTAGTATTCTGTCAACGGCCTCTACGGGTGCTCAGTCAAAATTCTCTCTCAGCTTAATTTTTTACTTTACTTTAATGTCTATAACTTATAACTACCTCTAATGTGCGAGATAATGAATGGCGTCTATGGCGAAATGGGTATAAGCAATAAGTCGTGTTTGGATTTCCAATCGTTCTCATACTTTTTAATTCCATCGAATTGAGGCATTTTTGTAATAAATACTAAAAGGTCGATACCGAATCTAATATTGTTTTACGTAAATTCAATTATTTAGAAAATACTACCAAATAAGTATCTTAATTACAGTGAGTCAGTGACAAAAAACAAACATAATTTCAAAAGCACAAAGCAAAATCAGTAATATCCGACCATCCTAGCCTAACCAAATCTATATCCCTAAACAGTGACAGATTTGTCCGTTCGTGCCCTAGACACATTAAAGATTAAGAGAAAAGACTCGCTGGAAGGCACAAAAAATTAAGCAAAGGAAGTAAGTACATGATATTATGGAGCCGAAGAATGGTACCTACTTATCAGGCCGCTTGATTTTATGGAATATCGCCTAAGCAAAGAAGCGAGAGGTGAAAGGCGAGCGACGCTACTTAAAAAATTCCACTAATTTGCAGCCCCCCACATTTGGCCCGCCGAGTACTCGGCCTGTAGAGAAATCCACCACTGTTTATAACAACTAACCAAAGCGCAAAGCAATATCAAGAACATCCGTAAACCGAGCAAAACCAAAATCGTACCTATCGTATAAATCTCAATCGAAGAAATTCGCAATAATATTATTAAAATGCAAATTGTCGGCGCTTGTTCTTTAATTACTTAACTTGTAATCTATCATTTGAAAAATTTGTTAAATCAAACTTTTTTTATTATGAAACTGAAAATTCAAGTTATCGTAGTTAAAATTTGTCACTGATAGCACATTTTGTATGGAAGGTAATTTTTATACTGGGAGCTATGTCATTTAAAACTTTTCAGTAGCTAATAAAAATATATATTCAGTTTAAGTGAACTGTTTGCGATCAAACGATACTCAAATATTGCGAGGAAGTTGATTCCGATTATATAATCATGAAATATAGTATTTGCTATAGATTACGGGGCGAAAAATCGATCTGTCTAGGTTTCAAAATTTCACCGAAAAAAAAAAAGTTATAATAGCTCCGTCGGTAATCGGCCGGCCCCGAAACAGATGGCCGTGGTTCGTGTCACGATCATTTACTCACTCTTTTTTTTTACTTTTTTTCGATTCCTGATCATTGCTTTCTTTATTTTTTATTTTTTGTCGATCCAGATGCTTTAGTTCTTTTTTCCGTTTTTTTAAAGGTCTGTCTTTTGTGAATAACAGTAGTTCATATTTTCTTATTATATGTCCGTAAGATCGAAAAATATTATGCATATTTCATTACTCAGTAATTTGTATCTAAATGTAATTTTCAAAATACACTATATACCAAAAAAAAAAACAAACCGAGCAAAGCTCGGTTCTCCAGACACTTAATCTTTAATACTTTTAAAAACACCATACAAATTAGTCCAATAGTTGGATAACTGTGATACCTGTTTGCGACTGCACTGCTTTAATCTTACAACTTCCATATCTTCCGTTTGAGTGAACCGATTGAGATGAAACAACAACATTAACAATCAACAAGCTGTTGATTGTTGTCCCAAGCTTTGCTTAAGTAACCAATGAAAACTGCATCAAAATCCGATAAGTAGTAGTAGTATTTTTTTTGGGCTGGATGCGCCACTGTCGGCGAGAATTTAACAACTACGTTTAGCCTGCGCCTTACGGGCCTTTAGCCCTATAAATATCTGTGATCTTTCGGACTTGAGGTGACTTGAGGGTTCTGAACCTCGATTAAAAACTCAAAATCATCAAGGTGTCATGGTTTTAAATTAAAATTTGATAGTCGATTATGAATATCGATTTTTGTAATAGCTCGATTATTGTTTCAGTTCAGTATATATGTGTTATCTATGTATTAGATATAGATTAGCTCATCTCATACATTCAGTATATATGTCATAATCTATGTCTCATACATAATTAATTAATATTAAGTAAGTTTAAGACCATTAAGACCCTACATATCGATCAAGATTCACATATAAAAAAATTAGAAATATTTGATTCTATGAATTTTATTGATTATAGTTTTACTCCACTCTCGTTTTGACTTTTGTAGAGTTATCTTGGTAAGGTTTAACAAAATGCCTAAATTAGGAGCTCTAACATTGACTAAGAATACCGGCGCGCAACATACTGCGACCGTAATTTTTTTTCATGGTTCTGGTAAGCCGAAATATTGTATAACCTTTTTTGGTTACCGACACATTTAAACATGATTTAAAAGCACGAAATAAATACGCACTTGTTACGTATATAAAACCTATTATACCTATGATAACTAACACATAATATGTAATTCTGTGAGAACAAGTTTTAAAACGTTCCACTGAGACAAGTTTTCACACTTAAGTACTCAGTGAAATGGAAATGTAAAATATTGAACATCTTCATTATGTTCAACTGTGAAATGTAGTGTTTATTTATCTTAAATTTGGTTTTTCTTCTCTTATATCTTAATTTGTATGGTTTTTATTCTATATCCAACTTTTAACCTTTGACAAGCAACATAGGTATTTGTGTGTTAGAAAAACGACTAACTAAAAGAACAGTTAAAGTATATGCAATTTTTCTTATCAGGAGCAAATGGTGAGCACATGAGGGAATGGGTCCAATTAATGGCAAAACATTTTATGTTTCCTCATATCAGAATTATATATCCTACAGCTCCTCTACAGCCTTATACACCTACAGGGGGACTTCTTAGTAATGTATGGTTTGATAGAACAGATATCAATCAAGATGCACCAGAGCAAATTGATTCAATAAAAAAAATTGAACTACAGGTAAAAGATTTGATAAAAAATGAAAATGATGCTGGAATTCCAAGCAATAGAATTATTGTTGGTAAGCATTGATGCTATTAGTTTTGAATCATTAGATACACAATAGTTGCTTTTGTACAAATGGACAAGGTCGCTTGTGAAAAATTACAGCCTTACAAAGTAAAGTAACAGTCTATACATGTCCCACTACTGGGCAAAAGACTCCTCTGTACAGAGGATATCAGGACGTAGTCCACTATGTGAACTATGTGGCCCTACTCCAGATTGGCAGACATCACAATATCTTTGAAATACTTTTTTTTTTGTTATAATTTAGAAAATATGCCTTACAATACAAATGTGCAATAGTAGAATTCATATTTATGGCTATTCCCTAATAAGTGTACCGACTTCTTAAAAATCTGTAATACTATTTACTCATGTGTAGATGCCCATAGGCCGTAGTAATTATTTAATACCAGGTAATTCATCTGCTTTAAAGACACTTGTAACCATTTGCATCTATTTCTAGATAGAAATTGATTGAATCAGAAAATTGAAATAATATGACAATAATAACTTATAATGAATACATTGAACAATGCATATGTTATTGACATTTCAGGAGGATTTTCCATGGGAGGAGCACTTTCGTTGTATACAGGATATATATGGGACCGAAATTTGGCAGGAGTCTTTGCATTTAGCTCCTTTCTCAATACTAAGTCAATGGTTTATAATGATTTAAAAAGCCTTGGTGAAAACAAGTGTAAGACTCACTTTGTACCTTGTTCTTTCACTTTAAGTACAATCTATTCTAAATGCAATAGTTTTAAGTCAAGAGTTCAAAGTAAAAAGTCATATTTATAAAACTGAAATTACATACATTTGTTACACATAGACTCCTTTCGCATGGAACCAAAGCAAATTTATGGTATTCTATCCTTATCATTCGCAAAAGCTGACTTAAAAGCTTCTGTTTTTTATTATCTTTTGGTTAAGAACCTGTATCGCCCTTCAAACCATTTGTTGTCTCTTCCTTCTAGTTCTTCCTAATAGTTTCTTAAGCTGTAAGGTTGATTGAACAATTATTGCTTTGATTTCATGTCAGCAAATATTCACATTGACATAATATTTATAAATTAATCATTTTTCCATTCTTATTGTCAACTTGCAAATAAGAACTTCAAAATGCATTTTGTCAAATTTTGTGGCTTTAATGTGAAATGGGCTTAAACAATTGCAAAATTTTTAAATACTTAGCACAGTCTGGATTTATCGCTATATTAAGTATCAATTTTAGTACAGACACTTTTGTGGCAATACTCACTTATTCTTATGCCTAGCTCTGGATTTACACTACTGGCATTTAAGGCCAGAACATTGTTGGAAGGTTGTGATGCTGTCCACTTATAATTGTCTATGATGCACTGCATTTGAATTTGGATTATATTTTCTCATATATAAGTAAACACAATGTTTTCAAGTATTATTTATGTTTTTATTAATTGCTATAGCTGCTAGTCCACCCTCTCAGTGGTAGCGGAGCGTGTTTAGATGAATATCTAGAGGCAAATGGAAAAAGCATATTGAAAATAGTAAGTAAATGATAAAATAAAAATTTTAAAATGAGCTCGTGTATCAGAAGCATAGAACCGTTGACAACATCAAATTACGATACCTGGTGCTTACAAGCACAGGCGATTCTCATAAGATACGATTTGTGGGAATTATCTAGTGGTGAAAAAACGTGAGCGGCAACTGCGACTGCCAAAGAAAAGAGGGCGTTCCTAAAGGAAGACTCAAAGGCAAGGTCAGAGCTATTTTTACTTATATCTCTACCACCAGAACTTAAACAAATTAAAGGGTGTAATACATACAAGGAGCTATGGGACAAACTAATGTCTGTACATCAAAATTCAGGGCCGGCAAGGCTACGCTATTAAAGCAATTAGTATTGAAGAAAATTACTCCACAAGAAGATGTGAGAGACCATCTCAGTAATTTTATGGATGTAGTAGGTAAATAAGAAGACATGGATGTCAAAATACATCCAGAGTTATTAAGCATAATGATGTTGTACAGTTTACCTACAAATTTCGATAGCTTCCGAACGGCAATTGAGTCGAGAGATGTTCTGCCAACTTCTGACAATTTCAAAATAAAAATCGTAGAAGAATTCGAAGCAAGAAGGCAAACCGAAGAGAGTGAACCTCAGACTTCAGAAGCATTCTACACAAAGACGAAGAAAAAGGTACAATTTTGCAAGGGTTGCAATAGGAAAGGGCATTCCACAGTAGCTTGTTGGTCAAAGAAGAGACCCAATAACCCCAATAAAACTAAAGGTGAAGAAAAGACATATAACATCTGTTTAACAGCAGGAACGTCGAAATATAAAGGCAATTTATGGCGTCTTGACAGTGGCTGTACGTCACAAATGACGGGTGATAAAAGTATACTCCATAACTTAATCCCCGCGACTGACACTCTAAAGCTAGCTTCAGAAAAGCATACGACCGAAGTTAAAGGGAAAGGAAAAGCCGAACTTTATACAAAGGATCGACGCTATAAAATTAGTCTTTCTGACACATTATATGTACCTGATTTGACGAATAATCTAATGTCTGCAAGCAAAATTACGGATCATGGCTATAAGGTTCTATTTGAAAAGGAACAAGCCAATATCACAAAAGGCGGAAAAACTGTATTAAAAGCTAACAGAAGAAATGGATTATACTATCTTGAATTTGATAAACCGGAAGAGACAGCAAACTTCACGCCTAGTGATGAAAGAGAAATTATGAAATTTCTCAAGAAATTAGGTCACATCAGTGAAAGTAACCTAAAAGAAATGGTTAAAAATAAAATGATGCGAGGACTCGATTTTAAAGAAAAAACTTTGGGTACCTGTGAGACTTGTAACAAAGGAAAATTTTCCACTCTACCATTCCAAAGCCATGGACAAATAATCTCTACCGAAACGCTCCAGATAATTCACAATGACGTGTGTGGCCCATTTGAGAATGAATCAATGGCCGGATCAAAGTATTTCGTAACATTTATTACGATTAGACAAGATACTGCTGTGTATATTTCTTAAACGAAAAGAGCGAAGTAATCGATAAATTCAAGGAATATAAAAACTATGTTGAACTGTTTCATAAGAAGAAAATTCAAAATCTACAATCTGATAATGGAGGAAAATACAGGTCTAAAGCGTTTGAAAAATTTCTCAAAGATAACGGTATAAGCCGAAGACTATCTGCGCCTTATACCCCACAGCAAAATGGCATAAGTGAAAGAAAAAATCGGTCGCTGGTGGATAAAGCCAGATGTCTGATGCTAGATGCCAATATCCCTGCAAAATTTTGGGCAGAAGCAGTAAACACTTCAACTATTTGATAAATAGAAGCCCAGCAAGAGCTCTCAAAGGCAATTCCCCATATGAGAAATGGGTATAACGAACACCAACAGGAAATCACCTACACGTATTCGGAAATAGAGCGTTTGTGATGAACAAAAACCGAAGAGGAAATTTCACAGCCAAAGCCACAGAAGGAGTATTCTTGGGATATGCGGAATATACATAAGGTTTTAGAATCTATATAACCGAAAGGAATGATGTTGTTATCAGCAGAGGTGTAAAAGTAATCGAAAAGATGCATTATGACGGTACTCCTGCTGAGAAACGCGGAGATCTTACTCCAGAACCTGAAACAGAACAAATTGAAATTGAAATTCCAGAAAAAAGAAACAAAGTTAATGAGAACTTACCTTTTCTGGAACCTAACCCCCTTTATTCCAGCTCTAGTCAAGATCCTGTTGATGAACCATCTCCCTCAAGTGGAAGACCACAAAGAGACGTGAGACCACCAGCATGGACCAAAGATTATGAGGTAAGTCGCAGTCTGACTATGTTTACGTCAGAAAATAATGACGACTATAACTGCTCTTTACTCACATACAAAGAAGCTGTGACTGGCACCGACAGACGAAATTCGGAGAGGGCGATACAATCTGAAATGGAACCATTACAGAAAAATATCATCTGGGTATTAGTTGACAAGTCAGAAGCCAAAGGACACAAAATACTGTCCAACAAATGCGTATTACGGATTAAAGATGACGATACGTACAAGGCTAGAATAGTCGTACGTGGATGCGAGCAGAAAGGGAAGCAGTGGGAAGTTTACTGTACCTGTCTACCTGAACCAGACCAGATATCGCACAAGCGGTCAATCTAGTTAGCAGAAAGGTCGAAAACCCCACTAGAGAAGACGTCACAAAAGTCAAGATAATATTCAAATATTTAGTGGGAACCAAAGAGAAAGTAATTTTGTTCAAACGAAACAAACCGATAGAGAACATTGATGCTTACAGCGACTCAGATTATGCTGGAGACCCATTGACGCGAAGAAGCACTTCTGGCTCCGTGCTAATGATAGCCGATGGACCAATATCATGGGCATCCAAGAGGCAGCCTATAGTAGCGCTATCGTCGACTGAAGCCGAGTACATACCGCAGCAGACTGTTGCAAAGAGGCATTGTATTTCAAATCAAGAATCAACCGAAAGCCATCAGACGACCACAGCCAAGAAGCCTCCCAAGCATCCTATCCTAATAGGCCCAAACTCCACCCTTACGAGAGCCGAAAAAGGAGAAGTAAATCTGCCAATCTTAAGACCAGTACATGAACCAAGAGACCACATAATAAACGCCTTCCTCGAGTTTCAGGCCCTCACAAGAGCGACGAGGGAAGTCAACTTAATGACATGCAGAGAAATTCTGCAAGCATACAGGAGAAACAATGACAGTCTTCTCCAAACAAAACTAGTGGAAGCAGAGGCAGCCATCTACAACAACACCACCTCAGAGGTTTTAAAGGGAACCATGAGGCAGCACATGGCAGCCTATAACGAGTCTCTTGGCTTCGTCGAGCTGGACGAGGAAAGGACAGAACAAACGGGACACCCAACGTTTAAAGCCGCCCCCGACGACCCGATAGTCGTCACCGCTAGATGCACCAAGGTTATGCTGCACCACAGAATCCTAAGCATGGCAAACGCCGTCTCGGGAGCACAAGATCCGGAAGCACCTTGGAAAGACTGGACGGTGCCGAACATTAGATGGATCAACGGGGTTCCCGGTTGCGGCAAAACAACGTGGATCGTCAAGAACTTTGACACAGGGAGGGACGTTGTGACCACACCACAACAATAGAGGCGGCGAAGAATCTTCGCGAGAAGCTTGCTAGTCTCGTCGGCGCCAGTGCAAATACCAAAGTGCGCACAATGGCTTCGGTATTGGTAAATGGGTTCAAAGAGCCAGAGAAGAAGACCTGTACTCGGCTCATGGTTGACGAAGCCCTTATGAACCACTTTGGAGCCATTATGATGGCAATGCGACTGAGCGAAGCTAAAGAAATCCTGCTGATTGGTGACATCAACCAACTGTAGGGACATTGACAGAGAAAACCTCTTTTCGATGCAGTACACTCGCCCAAACCTAGTGGCAGGCGTCAGTCAGAAACTGCTGTGTACGCATAGGAACCCGATGGATGTAGCATATCCTCTCAACGAAATATACAGTGGCATATACTCTTCCAGATCCCTTGTGCATTCGTTGAGTATCGAAAGATACTCCAACTCGCCAATACAGAAAACTCGTCCAGAAACGCTTTTCCTAGTCTATACCCAGGCGGAAAAAGAGGCCCTTATCAACCAGGGATATGGATCGTGCAACGGTTCGCGGGTTCTCACCATCCATGAAGCACAAGGACTAACATACGGGTCAGTCGTTGTCATGCGTACAAAAGTGAGCAAGCTACAGCTGCACGACAGCGTTCAGCATGCCGTAGTGGCGGTATCCCGGCACACGGTCAGCTGTATTTCTACACAGACGACTGTGACGACGCAGCAGGCCGCCTTATCCAAAAAGCCATGGCGGCATCAACCTGCAAGATAAGAGACTACAACCTTAAAATGGCAATTAGGAACAGACACGCAGCGGTCGCAGAGAGACTAGCAAAAAAATAACACCTATTACCAAATAACCTGCGACGACGAGATCTCCGTCCCTTCTCCCTACAGCAAAAACTGTGCAGATCAAAAAAACTATATATATATTAATTATTTTATATATATGTATAATAATAATAAAAAAAATATATATATATAAATATGAACTCACTGCTGCACCGCTACCAGCCCGGTTGATGTACGCGGCGGTGACAGCCCAAAAAGAAAATTAAAAAAACAAAAACATGTTAACAAAAAAAAAAAGAGTACGAGTCTGTAGAGTTACTTTGTTAAAATAAAAAAATAAAAAAATCAAGAATCAAAGAAGAAATACTAGAAATAACCGGTTTGGACATAAAAATAAATTTGCATGTTGATAATCAATGTTCGATTCAAGTTGTGAAGTCTGGATCCTTCAACAAAAGGTCGAAGCACATAGACGTGCGGTACCATTTTATACATGAACACTTCGTGCATGGATTAATAAATATTAGCTACTGTCCCACAGAAATTTAGTTAGTTGACGTAATGATAAAACCATTGTTAAAAGTAAAGTTTGAAAGACACTGTGCAAGATTGAATTTAAAGAAACGCGTCTCGGCATCATGAGTGAACATCAGGAGGTGTTGGAAGGTCGTGATTCTGTCCACGTATAATTGTCTATGATGCTCTACATTTGAATTTGGATTATATTGTCTCATATACAAGTAAACACAATGTTTTCAATCTGGTTACCTGGGTGGCATGATTCAGAGGGTAAGAAAAATCCAATGGGTGTATATCAAATAAAAAATTTTCTTATATCAAATTTCGGACATATGTTACGGAATGTTATGAAATCTCTTACATAAATGCTGCCCGCATTTTTGTAAGAGATTTCATAACATTCCGCTAAGGATTACTGGCCACTTACGGATAACAGGTATTAAATTTAAAAATTTGTACTGTTCTTATGTGTGTCAAATGCAGTCTAGAGAAAAACGTCTTTGTAAAAACTAGTCTTTCTATAATTATGTATTTTCGTGTTAAATTAATGTATTTTTTATTATTCTCTGTGTCAATAATTTATCTTCATTGAATTCATCATTGATTGGGAATAAATCTTTCCCATCAATTTTCAACAGTTTCCTAGTTGAATCTAAGGTTGACTTGCTTATACTCTTAATGCAGATATGTTCTTCTAAAAATAAGAACTGCATATTATGGTTTTAATGTTATATTTTTCGCACTGTCTCCTGTTGTTTTCTATGAGTTGGTAGTATTCTTCATAGTTTGCATATACTTTAAAATGTTGTTTGAGTTGATAACACATTTAAATACTACCATATAGTACTAATGGAAGTACTAGTAGTAATGGAACTAAATATTTTTTTTATACATTTTTTTTTCCATCTTTTTTAATAGTGCACTCATATTATAGACATGTGTAGTAATTAATAATCTGTTTTCAGTGCCACCCCTACTACAAATACATGGAGACAGTGATGACTTGGTAGACTTGTCCTGGGGTCAAAAAACCTTTAATGAGTTAAGGACAGTTGGTGTTACAGGTGAATTTCATGTAATGGAAAAGTTGGGACATTCAATCAACAAAAGAGGAATGAATATTATTAAAAATTGGATTGAGAAGCTTTTACCTGATGTGTGATACCAAACAGCAGTTTACATTACAATACCTGATACTCTGAATAGTGTGAAATTAATTAATGCATAAATCAGTGCCTACATAATTTAACGTTACAAAATAACATATAATTTGTATAGTAATTTTTTATCTTTAAAATAAAATTTATACTGGGAGAACAGAACATGAATGAATGAACCCTCATTTGCTGGAATAGACAAATGTATATACTGATTTAAATATTCTGTGTAATAGTAAAGAAAATTTAAATGTTAATTTATATGCATATGTATAAATTCCAATAATTGTATTCATATAATTATTAAATGTAATAGTAGTAAAATTTTGTCATATAATGAGCAAAATCCTCATCTCTTCAACTCAGTGTACTCTCTCAGTGTATTTATTAACCTTTGGTTCGTCGGAACGTAGATCTGCGCGCCAAATTGTGCTTCCGTTGACTGTCGGAACGTAGATCTACGCCAGATTGTTTATTTTCATTGGTATTTGATCTTGGGCTCCGGAGGTACTTAGGGAACTCGTGAAAATCAATTATAATATGAATACAGGACGAGATATTTGAAGTTGGTTATGTTTTTCGTTAGTAAAAAAATGGTTATTATAAGAAAGTTTCACTACATTTATTAAGGTGTATAGTTCCTGAATGAGATTCTGGCAGTGGCATGGTAGTAGTTATTGTTTTGGGAAATTAAAAAAATAGGAAGTTTTGTTATAGAGCAATAAACATGTTAGTTGTTTTAACAGTTTTTTTTTATTGCATTTTGTGTATTTTATATTTACTTATTTTCTCATTTGGTTGGTTTTATAAATGCAAATAAAGCTGTAGATTAATATAGTATATAATAAATAAATAAAGAGGACCGAACCCGACGGAAGCCCTCGGCAGAGGAGATCAAACGGCCGAGGGTTAGGGCACATGGGAACAGAACCGGCGAACGATGCGGGTGGTATAGAGGAGCACATCCTTTTGCATTTGTGCTCAAAGCGGTCTATCGCGGAGTCCCAATCGCCTCAGATGTTCGAAGAGGTTAACTGGGATTAACCCATTTGCAAAAACGACTATCGGGATAATTTCGGTGGTCAACACACCGCCCCCATAGGTCGGTCAAGTCGTGAGCCAAGTCCAAATAGTTTTCGTTTTCTTCACTGTCTCCTTCATACAGAATGGTAGTGGTGTTAACGGATAAAGATAAATCTATGCCCTCCGTGTCAGGGACCATGCCCCTTTCGACATGAAGGACTGCATACATCCGTCCCGAGCTACATTTTAATAGTATAGCTATCAATTACGGAGATGACAACTGCTTACTGACGGCATTTTGAGTCATAACAACTAAAAATGTTGGCGCTCAATGAAAGTTTCTCTACAGGTGCTTTCTCGGTACTGCCGCCGAAGTTTCTGTAGAGGTAATAATTTTTTGTATCTTATTCTACTAACTAAAATGTATTTACACTTTGAAACCAAAATGATTATTTATGTAGCACTCGAAATGGTAAAAATATTTCAATTGTTATAAATATTAATTGGTATCTATCATCTTCGTAAAAGGTACTTTTGGTCGAGTTGAGGTAATGACTTGACAATATCGCGGGGCCAATAAAAATAGTCTCGATTCGTTTTGGTGCATTGCCTCTATGCTTCCCTGTACTTACAGGAGCTGTATGGCTGATTTAGCTACGGCGAGACGTCTAAAGCCATAGATAAGACATATATACTGGTATAAAAAGATATATACTGTTCAAAACCATCAACACTACTATCTTTATATTTGAATGATCGATTTATTCGTCGAACGCAGAGCTTTCTCATTAACATGAGTTTGATAGGGCTCTGTGCCTACGTCATCGGTTAAGGAAAGAGTGAATAGGGGACAACTTCGATCCACAGAGTACTTTTGTATATAGGGAAATAGAGGCTTAACTCAGTGGTTTTTTGGGTAACAATTACAGCTAGCGCCATCTGTATTTACAAGTTGTAAAAAAAATATTAGATCAGCTGACCTTGACCTTGATTAGTATTTTTTTTATTTATTTATATTTTTCGAAGCAAATTAAGAATTAATTAAAGAAGATGAAGATACCAAGAAATAATTTAAATGAAACTCGGAATACATATAAACTTCTTTATTGATACTGTAAATATATTTCGAAACTTTATAATTCGATTGCTACTTTACAAAGTTATTATTATTATTTACCCTCATCATTTCTAGCTCCATCATCAGATCATGTTGGAAATTATGTAAGATCAAACGTTTCATTAAGAACAATTCAATAAATCTATATATACCTACAAAAACTAACAAACTAAGCTAGGTATAACACAGCTACCGTCATTATTATCTACTATCTCCCTCATCAGATCATGTCGACAATTATGTTACATATGCAATACAAATATGTACAAAGGTTTTATTTTATTTGTATTAAGAATTAAGCTGAGCAAATATAAAAATATAATATGTTTTATTTATGAGTAAAAATATTTTAATAATAAAAAATAGTTATTTTAACAAACCAAAAAGTTCTTAAAGCCCTGGACAACCTGCCAAATTCGGGTAAAATACTCACAATGTTGCAGTTTCGTGAAAACAAAAAGAAGAACAAAGGAAGACGATTTACATACAGTGAAAAAATTATTGCCTTGTCCTTATTAAAACGAAGTCCGAAAGATACGGCCTATTTAGAAATATTTTATACTTCCGGCCCCTCAAACCTTGATTAAACTAATTAACAACGCAAATATTCGACCTGGAGTAAACCCTATATTTTCTCAATTAAAACAGCAAGTACAGATAACTTCAATGTCATATTACTTCAATGAAAAATTGTTGTGTTCGTGAATGCACTACAACACGTGGTAATTTCCTTTGTTTTATTTTTTATTATATTTTGTCATACGTTACGACAAAACATTAATAATGTTTGTATTTGCAGGTAAAGACTGCAACACACATTTGCATTATTTTCCTCATCCAGAAAATGATAGGGACAGATTTAAAAGATGGATTAAAGCGATTGGAGGAAATTTACTAATTTTGGATAGCCAATATATTTATAACAACAGAAGAGTATGTCACAAACACTTTGAATCGAAGTATCACACCAGGAGCAGAAGATTAAGTTCAAATGCCATTCCAACCCTATATTTAAAAGGTGCATCTATAAAATATGTATTATGTTTATAGTACCTGATATTTGGGAAATTATTTGGGTATTTTTATAATTAATAATGTTCAATGTTAATCCAAAACATTTTACAGGTTCTACACTTAAAAGGCCATTGTCAGATATTACCAATGAACCTATCCACAATCCAACACTGGTTGAGCCCTCAACATCCACAGGTATACTTAATCGACTATCTATTAATAAAGCTATTTTGATCAACAAGCTTCTAAGGTGATGGAAAAAAATACATTTTTCTGATATGATAAATAAAAAATGAATTGACGAGTAAAGGAAAATTATCAGCACAACCAATATTTTAGAATCGCGATTTCTTTAATTCATAAGTAAATTAAGATGAAATCTTTTTTTATTTCATTATCGCAAAAATATGCAGAGTCCTTTCCTTTTATCAATTATTTTGAGCTGGGCAATATTATATATGAATAAAAAAAACAAAAGTCAAGTTTGAAGATTATTTATCTTAAGCATTGTGATAATGATGTAAGGCATTAGGCATTTGCATTAGGATTGCGTATAGATCGTGGTATCTACGGACGTTGACCGTATTAATTGATAGTTACAGCTGCTAAAAGTTTATTTACTATACTATATGGAGATTGGACTAATTGTTTTGGGTCAGTGCACAGTTACGATAAAATTACGGCTTTTGCGGTAGTGTAGAATGAAGGGTCCACAACCGTCAATATAGGTAAATTAATAAAGATAAAGTAAAGTTAATGGTACAATTTTATACACAAAAAATTTTTTGAGGATCCCATACTAGACCATTTAATTTTTATTGAACTGTAGAGTATCTTAGCTGATACAGCGAAAAATTTACGCATATATTGACTTAAAATAAATAGTATTAAAAATGATTAGTGTCAAAAAACCTATAGTACGTCATATTAAAGTCATTATATAGGAGAATCAAATTCAATTAAAAAATACTTAGAAGGACGAAGGAATTTTAAGGTGATAGATAATAATGCCGCCAAAGAAGGATATGGATCGTATGAATGATTGGCGAACGTGTATTGAAGAGTCTCCGTTAAATGAGGATAGATGGGAAATTAAAGTAGTCATTTTTGAAACGGCTGGAAGTGAGCAAGAGATTATTTATTTAAATAGATTTGAAACCTATGCGAAGGAAGAGAAGAGATTTGTAGTAAAAAATATTTGTAAATCTGAAACAATTTTTATGATTAATCAATTGGGAGCTGACAAAAAAGTTAAAGATGAAAATTTACGAGTCTTTGAGGAAGGTCACTTGTTTTTAAAAGAAAAAAAAGAAATACCTCCTGATGTACTTGCCCTAATAATAAAACATCTTATTTTGAAAATGAAAGAAGAATACCTTTCTATTCAAAGACAAAAATTAGTGGTTCGAGAAGGAATGCGAAAAGAGTCCCTTACAATGATTGACATAACTGAAATTAAAAATAATATGGCTCTGCAGAGCATTGAACCGGCGCAGCCTATAGAGCCTTCTCAAACTAAATCAAAGGGTAAAAAAGGCGAAGGAGATAATCTTATTCCACTGCAACCAGATACGGACAAAAAGTATAGTACGTTACTTCGAGTAAGAGGAGAGGAATGGCGAGACAAAGTTTACGTTGATGACTATCCAATAGATGGACCTAATTTATATTTAGCTATAACTGGATTTTTGGAACCATATCTTGTAGAAAATCTTATGAAAATAGGCGTACCGGTCACAGCAATAGTCCAAATACGAATAGAACCTATGTCTAAAAAAATTTCATCAGGTTATTTAACAGGAACTAAAAGAGGGCAAAGTGCCACAGAATTAGCGGCGGACAGGGCGCACGCTTTCTGGGAAACGTTACAAAAATTGCGTTTGAATAAAAACTCAGCGGACGTTTACAAAGATATGGCTTTTATAGTTTTTAATCCACCATATCGTAGTAACGAAACCCTATCGAGTAGATCTGAGAAAATATACGACGAACTGAGCTATCTCCTGTATGATTTACAAGATTTGACAAGGCAGCATCGTAACTATTTAGATAATATGGACATTAAATGCTTACCAACTGAAACCAAAAATGACAGTTTATTAAAATTGTACCATAAATATGTAGACGGTATCCCTTTGGAAAGTATAACGATTTTTTCTATCATTGAAAGCTTATTACAGACTATTTCCAACGATTATACGGATAATGTTCAAATAAGTAGGTCATCTCTTTCTACTGCAGCAACATTACTTCAAAGCAGCGAAAATACTCTATGTCACGACAAAGTGGACAAAGCGGAAACTCTAGTAAATCAAGTATTTAGAACTCTATCTAAAAATGATTTCAATGGGAAAAAGTATCGATTAACTTGTGGAGAAGAGTACCACACTTTTGAGGATCCAATGATAATTAACTATGGCGATTATGCGAAATATAATAGTTTTCATTTAGGAAATTTAAAATTGGATAATGTGATTTTGACTTCCTTAGTTAATATGCCAATCTGCAACTTTTGGAAATATCAAAAATATCCATCGGATGACTTAAAAGCTAAGATAAATTTTCATATTAATACGTTGATTTCATGTTTTGATAGAAAAGATTTGGATGATTCTTTATTAAACAGACTAATTCATATGCTATCTTTTCGAAAACTTTACAATAACAGGAGTTCGTTAAGAAATGTAAGTATCCCAGCAAATAGTCTTTCAGAATTTAAGAAAATGTATTTAAAGCGCAGCACTTTCGCTGAACCACTTTTAAAAAGTGCCTCATTGTTCTGCACTAGCAGTACAACCTCTCCAGCAAGCCCCATCTTAGTTGCAAGTGATAGTTACAATAATAACGGTTTTTATAAAAGTGATACAGAAGACGAAACAATAAAACTTATTTTCACTTGCCCTGATATAAGTGAACTGGTTTCTGCAGCTGAAATTATGAATAATAAACCACTAAGTCATTTTATTGAAGATTACGACTATTTCGAAGATTTTGCTGGTACAATTGCCCTTCAACAGTTACTTGAAGCCTTTAATAAATTCAATTGTTTAAATTATAAATATTGTGAAGTAACAGACAGCTTTCTAATGATATTTTTTAATGATCATGATGTTAATGGGATTTCTCGCAATGAATGGCGTTGTCATTTGCCGACACCCATCTGTTTGCAGGATTTTTTCGACTTTGTCCTTGAAGAACAATTCGAATGGGTTCGAGAAGAAGAAAAAACGTACGATGAAATTGCTACTTTAAAAACGAAATTAGAGTTGAAAGAATCGTTGGAACAAGTGCCTGTAAAATCATGCATAGAAAATATAGACGAATTAGATTCAGAGTTTTTAATTAAAGGATCACTAAAATATCAAGACCGAGTTAAGTCCAAAATTGATTTCAACGAGGAGGAAGATCAAAATCAATCCTTTGCTGGAACTACACCCATGTCGTCAGTTTTAACTGAGGCAGATTCTAAAAGTAATAAAACTAAGTCAAGTTCACCCGTAACTAAAAAGAAGGTTAAAGAAGAAGGTGTCGAAATTTTTGCTGACGCAATTTCTTATAATAACCAAGGTTTGAAACAATTCTCTGGATTTAATTTAGGTGATAGAAGGGTTGAAGTGTTTGGAAGAGATTCTGCTTATTTTTCTTTGGATGGAACAAAAGTATCCACTTTTTATACAATCATTATTCCAATGAACCTAGAGCACTTAATTTTAAATGTTATTTCTGGTAACGGTGACAATGAATTTTGTATTCAGAAAACATTAGGAGATATGGTCTCTTTTAATCCAGAATCCTTTAGAATTACTAGTAAAAATCAGGTACTAATTTATTTAAAAAAAAATGTCTACCAAACGCCCGTATCATCAACGACTACGCCCCATTTAGATAAACGAAACTCAAAAGAAAGTTTAAGTAAAACTAAATTTAAACGGGCCAGTTCAACTAAACCTCAAGCTAGTTATACGAAAATGTATCATTCGTTTTTTATTACTTGGCCCAACGGGCTTGTAATAGAAAGTGTACATAGCGATAATTCGTCAACTGTCAGTCATATTAAGCAGTTTTTTAATACTCCTACGTCATATGTGGATGAAGATATGCGTTGTTTTTCTTTAAACGGGGAAGTGATTGCTTTCAAAAAGTCTGGTATTGTGGAAGTATTTCAACCAGATGGCACATATATAAAAATTAAGAATTGTTCAAAGAATGCTGTATATTCAGAAGCGACAGAAGATACTCGTAGTGCTGGTAGCTCAGAGAAAGGTAAAAAAGGTAAAGGGTATAAAAGTAAGGAAAAGTTTGGGAGAACTACTTCAAAATCATCGAAAAATACATTGGATCAAAGTGAAAATCTAGAAATACCAACGCAATATCAATTATCTATTGATGAATTTGAAATAATTGATGGTAACGGACTGCAGCAAAGATGGATTAACAACCACCTTATAAGTTCAGAAAAGGTTTTAATAAGAACTGCTACAGATTTTTGTCTGGGAGAAATACTATCCAGGCGCATGGATGGCACCTCATTGTTAATAAACAAAGATGGCATACAGTTTATTACATTTCATGATAATACAAGAATAATCACAACTTGTTTTATTGAAGAAGAAGAAATTTATCCTGACTTTACCGAATCCATTGTGAATTTAATGAAACCAAATACTTTTGAATCGACTAGACCATCAAAAAATTCACTATCACAGAAAAGTCAAGTAAGTGTCTCTAGTAATTTAAGTAGTGATGATGCATCAAGAAAAGAGGACAAAGTAATGGGTACAGAAAAGGACAGAGATGATGGTTTTGTCTCTGTTCAACTAATCCACACTATAGAACATGCTAACTTTGCTACGGTTGTAATAAATAAAGCGAACAGAACCATTATGGTGGAATCTGCTAATAAAACTAAAGTAACTGTGGACACTGCTAACAACTATAATTTATTTCTTGACGAATCAACTTCTGCAAGTTTTGATGGAGAGCATTTAAATATCATATTCAAGGCATGTCACCTGTGTCATGCTAATGCAGATTGTAAAATTAAAATAAATCATACAACAAGTTGCAATGATGTAAACCAATATTGGCTGACTATGAAGGATTCGTTTGGAAAAAATATAGTAGTTGATGACGAAGGAGCAATACATTTTGTAGAAAAGCCTTTCAAAAGTCGAACGGATAAAAAAGAAGAAGAAATACCTTCAGAAAATTTATCCGAGGCTTGCCTTACATTACAAGGAAAGTGTAAGGAATTGTATGAAGCAAATATGTTTAGATTTTTCGTACTTCACCGGTAAGTTTATCTCATTACGTTTGTGTTAAAAATTTTAACAAACGTTTATTAGCTTGGCCAATGTTTATGTTTTATGTACGTGTGCATATTCTTCTATTCTTGCCTATTGCACTGGGAATTATAATTCGGTGTGGTGGGCGGTTTTACGAACAGTAAAAGATCACTCAATAATTTTATAATTTTATCATTTCATTTTTACTCCGTGTGGAGATCGAAACCTGAAGACCGTACGCAACAGCAATTTTCGTAATACCAAATTGGAAATTGTTATTATAAAATGTCCTGAAAGACATATATATTTAACCTATACCGGGAGATTTTTTGAGAAGTGTTCAAATTTACACAGGAGGTTTAGACTCGGTAGTATAAATAATCGTTTATTGAAACAAAAAACAAAGTTTCTTTTTTCCAAAAAAATGCCATTCTATTCCCTAAAAAACAGAACGTGTTGACAATGCGCTAGTCATTCATAAATACCTAAAATTTAGTGTGCACGAACTTGTGTGTGTGTTAGTTATGAATGATCGCGCGTAAATAAAAGAGTTGCCCATAAATCACGCACTTTTTGAGAAGTTTAAATGAATGTAATCAATTATTTACTTGTGATTTTAAATATTTATTAATTTTTTATAACATTATTTATGTCTTGAATTTAATAAAAAAAAAGGATACACTTAGAAAAGCCACTCGGTATAATATGATTCAAAATTACTCAGTAGCCAATTACTTTTTTAACTATGGTGATAATTTCTTAATTTTAGTTTTATTTAGTCGGTTCAATTTAGAATTCTTTTCTAGCGATTTGACGTGTTCGGAACTCGTCCACCGTACACTGGTTGACCAGTACAAGAGCCAGTGTCGCTGGCAGCCTTGGTGCTCCATTAGAGAATACGATACCTTTGGTGATCATCGTAACCTAGTATCTATACTGAACCCTATTGAGCTTACTGAATCGGAAGTAAGTTGCTTAAATAAAGGCGCCTTTATTTAATACTAAAAAATATGTAAAGTGATTTTCTTAAGTAGATAAGGGAAGGGCAACTATGGTATTTCTGATTTTCGCACTTCAACTCAATAATCACGGTATAATTTTTCAATCGATGACTGAAAAACTGCAATAGACCCACTTCCCACGTTGTATTACGCAAGCTTATCAGATAAGAATGCTTCCGACGTTTATAATTTTGTGCTATAATTTGTAACATGGATTTATCTTGTTTAAATTATGTACAAATTGTTTCTTATTTCTGTAAAGTTTTTCTAATTATTTAAAAGCCGTGATAGCTCAGTGTCCGGGCGCTCGCCTTTAATTCCATATACTCGAGCAACCTGAGTTCGATCCCCGGTGCCGGCACCAATGAAGTTTTTAACTTTAAGTGCTGACTTATCACGTGCTCCGCGGTGAAGGAAAACACCGTGACTGCATATTTTCGAAATAATAACAAAAAAAATATATTTCGAAAATATGTGAAGTCCGCCAATCCGATGTGGGGCCGCGTGGTGAACTATCCCTGATACCCTCTGTATAGAGGAGGCCTTTGCCCAGCAGTGGGACATGTATAGGCTGTTACTTTTTTCTAATTATTTGCCAGTAAAATGCAAAGTTTTACCTATACAGAAATGGCTGATGCGGTCCAAATATTCGAACAGACCCAAACAATTGAAGTACAACGATTTGAAAGTAGACACCGGTAAAGGTTTTTATCATTGGATGCGCCCGTATGAGAGGTTCCAGCCAAAACCAACGGAGGTCGAAAATATAAAATTGCCTAGACTCCCTAGAGCTTATGTGTTAAGGTATTATAGTTATTAAATATTTACTCGTATTGTGTGTATCAGCCGTGATAGCTCAGTTTAATTCAACATACTCGAGCCACCTGAGATCCCCGGTGCCAGCACCTTTGTTAATTTCAAGTGCTAACTTTATAACGTGCTCAACGGTGAAGAAAACATCGTGAGGAAACCTGCATATTCTCGAAATAATAATAAAAAAGATATTTCGAAGATATGTGAACTTCGCCAATCCGCAGTGTGGTAGCGCTTTGGATTATGGCCTGAAACCTGTAAAAAGAGGAGGCCTTTGCCCAGCAGTGGGATATTTATAGGCTGTTACTTTGCTTTTTGCGTGTATAGTATTTGGAATCACGGCATAACACATACTAAATACGTGCGCGTGCGGGGCAGTTGTCACTGCTCTCAGCTACCATAATAACACAGTGGACTGTCATAGGAGTCACGGTCCGCATATCCAGGTCTGTTTGCTGTGAAAGAAACATTAGATGACGTCAAGCTTTGCTAAATATACAATAAAAACAAAGTAGATGAGACTACGATATCAGCCCCATTGCTTAATGGCTAGAGCATCCGGATGCGTAATCCGGAAGACACCAGTAGAATCCTGGCAGCGGGCAAAGATTTTGTAACACTTTATCTACACATTATTAAATGTATACTAGTTTGTTAGTTTTGTAGGGCAACGCATGATTGCTGTCTCACCTGATGATAAGTGACGATGTAGCCGTTGATGTTAAGCGCGCTAGCTCAGTAAAAGTCTATTCACTCTTGCCGCAAAGGGGCCTACGGTACTTGACAGAAAATGATATGGCATGTGGGTCGCTTGTAAAAGTCTCCGCTTAGCACCTTCAGTGTGTATTGAATAAATAATGCCATAGGTAGGTTCACGCTTCGCATCAGTTCCCAGCAGTGATAAGAGCTCCTTAATTTGTTTAGACTTTGTACAAGCGCATTCGATTTGGACGATTGTAGCTCTTATTACTTGTGGAATAAGTTGATATTTTTTTACTATGAAATGACCGTGCCTACAAAGTATGCAGCGAAACTTGTTTTGTAACATGAGCGAACTTAATAACTAAGCAGGTTTTTATCTCGAGGCAATGTCGATGCCACAATTTAATGTAATCTGCGATTTTATAGTTTAAACCTTTATACTTAAAGGTATTTTCATTCGTAAAAGACACGTTTAGCAAGACCATTAACCATTAACTTAGCAAATAATTTGATCTGACTTTAAAAAAGGAGTAAGTTCTCAATATGTTTCATCTCAATACGTTTGTTTTACGTTGTATGTACATTTTTATGTTTGATACCTTAGAATTCCGTTATTTATGAAGGTATTTTAAAATAACTTATTGCATGAGATTCGGTTTAACCCCCATGTGGTCCCATAGTATAAGCTCATTGATATTGGACCATAGGAGATGTAAAAATGAAACATGTGAAATGTAAAATGAGTGATATTTGAAGTCGGTTTTATTTCTGTTAATTTAAATCGATTTGTTCTCTTAACTGTTCTGTTTAAATAAATTTAAAAAAAAAATCATGTAAATAAAATGTCCTTTCAAATACTTTTTAATTGTATATTCTAAACCGTAGAAAATGTTGGAATACAGAACAGCATACTCAAGATAGGCGTGTAGAAATCGACATCAGTGGAAAATAACAATGAATGTGATCTTAATTTCCAACACAATTATCCAACAGAAACATTTTTAGTATATATTTCAAATTTACCTTCGATGAACCGACATCTTGATTCGCACCCCTTATTTGTGGTACATGGCGCCGGAGTTGCGGCGGCGGCGCGGCGTGTTCAGTGACACGTCTCACCACCCAACGCAGAATAAATTTTGTCCGATTAAAGCAGAAGCTCGTCATTTCATAAAATAAGCCGTCATATCCTTGAACGATCGTGACATAAGGCTCGCCGTGTAGGCGGCTGCCACCGGCACAAAATTCAAATGAGCGCGTACATTGTCTGTAGTCTTGCCTAAAACTGGAATTTTACACTGAAAACAAAGCTTAAAGTTTTAGTATTTATTGGAGCTCATAAGTGGAAAATATACGTGAATTCTTTGTTAAACCCTTCTTCACTGTATAAACCCTATTATGTAACAGATTTTTTATTCCGACCACGAAGCTACCAGCGTCCTAACGAAGATGTTTAATGAAGAGCAGGTAGATGATAGTTAACATGATCTTTTTCATTATAGTTTTTTATTATAGTATGGCACCATGTAATAAACCTATGTATAAGTAACACAGTTACTTTTGAAAAATGGTTTATACAGATGAGTAATCGATATACATAGATGGTAAGTAAACCTATTATGACCGGAAACGCGCTAAGGAGAAGTCCTTAAAATGATTCGCTAAGTATTACAGTGAGTGAAGGAAACGAAATGGGAAAATTTGCTTATATAAATGAGGCACAGAATATTGGTCCAGATGATGCAAATTAACGCCGTAACTATACTTCACAGAACGATACATACGATGGCTTGGAATATTCTTCTGATGTGAACTGATAACATTTTACTTTACAAATAACTCTTCTCAACAAAATACTACTGTCATTTAAAAATATAATTAGTTTCACGTAGCGTCGTGATGAACTTCGTCTAGTTCTAGTTTAGGCTCACAGTTTAGTCGTTTACAACCGTTTTTAATAAAAGTCAAAACTGGCTAGATATTCCAGGATGTGCTGTCAATATCACTTGATACTTTTTACTTTTTTTAGACCAGGACGTAAGTTATAGGGCTAACCAAAATGCAGTTATGTTGCTTGAGGTATTCGCTCTAACGTTGCGGTCTTCAGCCTCACTCAGCTATTGTGAAGCCGACAGGACACTTGAAGCATGGCAGGACTTGCGTGGCATTTCGTAGTTTACCTACAGTTAGGTGTTGTTTACAATGATAACCGCTTGTAAAACATTTTATTATATTGTATTTTTCATACATCAACTAACAATTCGAATATCGATTACAGGAAATATCCATTGCGATAGAGAAGTTTAAGTACAAATTGTAAAATTCGCATAATCACGCGGATCTATTTGTCGCATTTATATAGAACTCAACTTTAAATAGTAATGGTCACCAAATTTATTACTTGTTAAAAGTGCTAGGGCCACGCAGCCGCTACAAATTCCGCAGGCTCTTCCAAAGTAGTAAGTACCACGTCCTCACGGAAGACCGGCGAGTACTTACGACGAAGTTTTGACGACCCTAATGGCGTAGTCGGTGTACCTGCCTCCTGCACCAGAGGGTGTGGGTTCGATCCCCACTACTGGAAAAATATTGTGTGATGAGCAGTGTTTTTCTAGTGTCTGGGTGTTTATATATGTATAATGTGTATAAAGTATTTTTAAGTATGTCTATCGGTTTTCTAGTACCCATAGTACAAGCGTTGCTTGGTTTGGGACTGGAGAATGTTGTGTAAAAAATATGTCCTAAAAAAATTACAAATTACAAAAATTACTTCTGCGTTTCGTCTGTTGAGTGTCGTAGCCGGGGCCCACTTTATTGAAAGGTGGTAACGCATCTGAAACCCCACGAGTCTTGCAAATTTCAATGGGAGGCGGTTAACACTTAACATCCCTCACCTGCTCACTTCAAAAAGTGGAAGTACTATACGATAGCGTTTCGTTTGGTGAGTGCGTTAACCTGGGTCTTGGAAATTAGCAAAACATCCGCATCCCTTTTGGTGTTTTAGTTTTCCATGGGGGGGTAATGAAATAAAATCAGCCATCTACCACCAACATAAACAATAAAAAACATTCACTTTTGTGCAGAACTTTAGAACAACTGTGGAAAGAGGAGGTTCGAGATAATATGAAGGGAGGCAAAGAAATTATAGCAGCAGTTCTGCGCTACCGGCGCCTCTTGGAGTCCGAGTCTCAAGCAATTCTGAGCGTGCCCATAAAGGATCCACGTACTGTGGAAGAAAAGGAGGTCGACAACAAGCTGCAAGATATTGCTCAGAGGTCTGACTGCTGGCAACTTCTACGTTCAACTAAGTTGCCCTGGCCGTAGTTGGCCGCCAACGCTTACTTGACGGCGACGAAAATTTTTAAATGATCAATATTGACCTACTAAGATCGAGAAGTAAAAATCTTGATAGTACCGCGTCGGTTTATCACAGAGATCTTCCCAGCAATTTCGTCCTAATGCGTATCGAGACCAACTTGCATCTCAAAAATTTGCACACAGATTGGTGTTTGGAAGGCATCCAAGAAATAAACGTTGTGTCGATGATTTATATTACTTTAATCATTGAAGAAGTGTTTATTATGAGTCTCATAATTTTTAAGCGCAATGGTCCATTTGACACTCCCATAATATACTTATGCTGTGACGTTAAGTTACAGAGAAATTGTCCACAGATATTCTTAATTCAATTGCCACTATTTAGTAGTAAAGCAGTGTAAAGGTTTGACCTAACAACCACCGATTGTTAGGTTAGGTTAGGTTATATTTGAATGCAATGTCTTGCTTGATCACTATTATTACACTGTTATTATTTTTCCTTCTGCCTTCAAATTGCTATTTGATCTTAGTCATAAAGACGGTTTAAACTGTTAAATGTTCATCAAAAAAATTTTAACAGAATTTATAACGACTTGAAGAACGAGATTTCCGATGAGATACAAGCCGGAGCCAAGGTGACAATCACGACCAAGCCTCAGAGCCCTCGTCAGAAGTTTGTGACCGATGAGATGGGAGAAGGTAATCTACTATCGTAACAAATTCGTATTGTGCCACAACGGTATCGCCTTCATGGTGATTTATGGGATCTGCATGGTTCCCAAAAATTGTTGATTGCTTTATAAGTATTATGCCAGCGACCAGCCCCGGCTTCGCACGGATGCAATGTAGATTTTTAATATTATCGATATTTTTTTTAAGATATAAAATTCCGAGGTACATTAATTTGATCAATTTCATAAGGATTAGCCAGCGTTTGCAATGTAAGCGCACAAATATGTTTGTTATGACATTACAAATCATTGAATTTCTCGGCTTTTCTCTACTATAATATGTACTACATATTATAATTCTTCCGCTAGAACTACTTTGTTGCTAAAAACCGTGAAATATGTTGTTTCATTTAACCATGACTTCCAGCTACGGAACACGTTTTGAAAGGTGTTCGATGTTTCTTTATCGTTAACGTTATTAAAAAGCGAAATAGAAAAAACGTTTTGAAAGCAGTGCTAGTGAAATTATGACATACAGCATTTTTTAATAATTGTACATAGTCGTATTGTTTCGACACAGTGTTTGTATGATCAGTAGTTCCAGTTGCAAGCGATGAACTTAAGAAGAAATGGCAAGAGAAGAACACTGGCTACGTAAGAGAAGTTGCAGAGGCGGAAAAACTGAGCCCCAGCATGGAACGCTACTGGCTTCGTCGTGCCGACGAGGCTAAGCGGGAAGAGTTTTACAAGCAAGTTTCCTACAAAAGTTTCTATTAGTAGTTTCAAATTTCATACGACAGTTTCTCGAACGGCTTAGTTGGCGTTACCGTAACATAATATTGATGCTTTAATGGTTTTGTTGTCAAACTTTATACTGCGGTAGAGACCACGCAGTTTCTGCTGTTGCACGAACGGAAACCGTAATCCGGAAACTACTTCGAAAGTTTTTGATGTACTCCTAATATGTAAGTTAATAATTTGAAACATTTTGTATATATCACTACAGCTCACTTTTTGCTTATGTGCAGAACAGCAGCTTAAGTGACCTGCAGTTCATTGGCAGCATTGTTAAACAGTTGAATGTATGTAATTGTATCAATATTACGGTTGTTCTCAAGTTTGAATTTGCCATTACATCGACTACCAGAGACCGTGAAATTTATTTTACAATAAATACGAAGCTTATTTTCTTTTACCATGACTGTTAAGATGTTTTACACATTGGGTAACTTATTAAATAGGACAAACAAGTGTCCTTGTGCTTATTTACCGTAGTTATTTTGAGCCGTGAAGCCGATGAATTATTTGCAAAGTTTACCGTTAGAGTAGGACAAGAAAGACGCGTAAGATTCTCGAAAAAATTAAGCTGATGCGTAGTGTGAAATAGGGTGCAAAGTTACTTTTTCAGCCACGTTAGATGGTGTTAAATACGCAGGCAACTATTACGGGAGGAGTCCATACCGCCTTACTTCCGCAACATCCTTGGCGGCGCCGTGTGGTGGGACGTGAACCAGACTGCTAACGACGCGGTGACCATCGCGCAGACAAAGCCTTGTGTATGCGTCAAGTCCAATACCTGCCACGAACCCGATAAGGAAGAACTCCAAATCGAGGATACACCCTAGTTTTCTTCTGTTGAAATGTATAGTGTTATTTTATTTCTTCTATTTTTTATTAAATAATGTATTCCTGTTGGCTATATAAGCACTGCAGTTCTTTCATAAATAAACAGATTAAAGCGATTATTTAGTTTACGTCGATTGTTATCAAATAGATATGGGATGATATTTTAGTTATCGTACGAGAAAACGAGTACATTTGGTCCTATGGATGATAGAAATAGGATATATTTGCAGTTACTCAAATTGTAGCATTTACTTAGAGAGTTCGATTAGCATTTAATTAGGATTAAATTCATTAATTACGAATCTTGACAAAAAATTTATTAAGTTATAAGCTATTCGGAGTTCGGCCGCTAGTTTTTCATTAGCGCGCAAAATATGCAATTATAAATATGCAGTGACTTTCAAAATCAATGGTCTCACATTAATTGGGAAAATGAAATCCCCTCACCCCCTGGCTAGACTTTGGAATGACGTTCCCCATAGGCAGCAATGACCTAAAAGTTAATTATAAAGTGCTAGGGGCGTCTGGCCCGAGGGTGGAACCTAATTGAATACCTGTTATACATAGCTAATATCTACTAACATAACTGTTAGTCGTTTACAGCAATTATCTTATTTTTGATTGCGTAAGATACCTTACTAGTTACTATCGAGTTGTTTTTTGAAAAGATATCTTTTGCAAAAAGCAATTCAATAGTAACTACGTTATTATTTATTCCATAACGAACGAAACTTGACAAGTTTAACCAAACTGGCGATTATTTTGAAATACTATAATATGCATTTCAGTACAAATACTTAAATACACAATAGTTATATACTCTGTTACGACGGTCTTTTATTTAGTCATAGTTATTGGCATGGACAATAGAGGTATAGTTACACTCAATAGTTTTTGGAAATTATCTTGTTTTAAGACCTATTATTTATTAACAAGCAAGAATCCGATTCAGACCCATCCGATAGGTTTGTTGTTATTATCGTTTTCGCGCTAGTCATTACCAACTTCAAATTAACACAATGTCAGAGAGTCCTTATCGGTTCTGATTAGTTTTTAATTTCTACATAATTATGTACAAGTGTTACAACTGGATCTGTGGTCATAAATGGCCTAATCTTATTGACTCAAATTATGTGAAATCGATGATATTATTATTATCTATATTTCGTACTTAAAAAGTAGCCTATATACAGCGTGTCGTTACCATCGCGACAATAAATGAACACACGTCTAACGCTACTTGCCAATAATCATACAAAAATATTAACGTTAAACAAAATCCATAATTAAAAAAAAATATTTTTCAATCAAACTAATTAAGTAAAAAAGAAACAAAATTTGTAACAGCCTATACAACTCGCGCCACAACGTCGCATTACAAGCCTCTCTTTCTAACAGTATATTTTGTCTCTTTCAAATTCATTCAACCCATTCATATGCTTTGTGACCTTTACAAATGAACTTTACGTTACGCTTTTATAGGTAAGGGTGTTCTAAAATTCTTTGTTTTGGAAAATTTAATAAATCTGTAAATATTGATGTTTAAAGAATTTAAATGTTTAATACAACTTTAGAAACTTATCCCCTATATGTGTGTTCATTTATTGTCGCGATGGTAACGACACGCTGTATAGTCTTCCTCAATAAAGGAGTTATTTAACAGTGCAAGAATTTTTAAATCGGACCTGTCCCTGTCTTTCAGACCCTGAGATTAGACTGATTAGATGTGGTTACCACGATATTTTTGTGACGGAAACCTACATTATTTTTCGCCAAGCTCCCATCCTCCAAATCCGTACCTTATTTCTAAATCATATTCAAGAACGTATCGGCCTAATCAAGTTTATCGAGGAAAGGTTAGTTTCTCTTTCATTTGCATGAAGACCATTGGTAACCAGAGTTTTATTTTCTTGTGGTATGGCCATGTTATGACGTTCAGCCAGTGTAGATTCGTGAAGTGCTATGGCCTGACATCTGACCGTGGAATTGATAAGTAAACATCTGCGCATTAACCATGTAGTTAATGAGCTAAGTCTCCAGTGCCTGACAATCACCTTAAAATGGCCTCTTACGGCGTATTCGTAAAATGAATAAAGTTAAAGGTGAATCATAAAGTAATAAATTTATTTAACAAAACGCAGGTTGCATTTGTTCGCGATATACGAATTGATAAGAAGACTGTCATGTCGAATCACACACCCACGAGAAGTACACGATGAAGCTTTAATTGTCTAAGGACTGAAAGCAAACATATCAGTTACAGTAAAAGTAAAAAAGGAATTGCTTACCTCCACGTTTGACTTAACCATGCCTCCGTGAATCCGTATTGCTTCTATGGCCATTTATGAGACAGAAGAGGTTGCTATAAAACTCGATGACAATAGCTGTTTAGTTCGTTAGTACGTAACAATTTGCAACCCTAATTGTGTTTTTTATATCTTATGCGTCGGTATCTTTTACAGTCACTGAAAACAACATTCCTTAGCTAATTTTCGATTAAATACTTGAGTCGTGAACGTGTGGTATAAGTGCAAATAGTAAGCTCGCTATTATTTTTAATGAAATAGAAATAAAGAATTCAGCATTATCCCATTAGACGGTGATACAAAAGTGAGTCCAGGATGTCAAATACTATAGCTTAGATCTTCACTGCCGAGGTTCGAGTTTCTGGATTTTGCTAACAGCTACTTTAAATTGGAGAATGTTCGCAAATCTTCGGGAGTCTGCATTCATTGTGCAGGTTGCGTACCGGTTGCGCGGCGGACGAACTTATTTTTTACTATTTGCAACTTGTATAAGCGAGTAGGATTTATGTGGGCGTATGAGGACGTAGGTAATAGGTATTACACAGGCCTTATGTAAAAATAATTTGTGCCTCAAGGGCATTTTACTTGACGTATTAGTTAGGTGATAAAGCCGACCGAAGACGAACGCGGCTCTGTTTCTATTGTCGTTAATATGCGATGTAAACGTCATGCGTGAGTCGAAAGTGACTCCTAGATATTTGTCCCTTTTCTCCCAGGGGAGTGGTTGGCCATTGAGAGATATTTGCCCTAGTTTTCTGCATTGGCCAGGGCCGTTATAAAGTTGTGACGGGTAAGTTCTTCGTGTGACACACTCTTGTCGGGATTTACTTCTATTCTCCATTTGCGGAACGGCCGCGCTTTGGAGACGAATAGTGAGTTGATTAAGATTTTTATTCGTGTCTTTTGGTGGTCTTTTGGAGCGTAAAAAATCAACGGGGAGAGGCAGGAGCTTTGAGGAACGCCTGCTGTGAGACGGCGTTGCGTAGAGCGGGTGCCCACTACTCGATATTGAAAGGAGCGATTCAACAGGAAGGCCCGGATGGTGTGCACGAGTCTGTCTGGCACGTAGAGTGCGAAAAGCTTGTAAAACAAGCTTTGGTCCCAGACCTTATCGAAAGATTTTGAGACAACGAAGAAGAGAGCCCCGGTGCTTAGGTGTTTGGGGTAATGAAGGGCAACAAAGTTGTATATTATATAACAAATGACGTAATTGTGAAACACTCCATTTGTTTGTGCTACAACCTTAACCTCTGTTATTGTTGTGTACCTACATAAGCGCTGTAAGAGCTGTGAAGCAAAATATTTACAAATAGAAGATAACTTGTCGGCTGGGTGACGCAACGTTGACCTTAACGGATAGTGCAACTGACAGACAGCGCTTGCATTCAAAGCTATTAAGAATATTAAAAGTTCTTTAACTATATTATTTTTGAATTGGATACATGTTTTTATTTAAACCTTTACTCTTGTTACAACAAAATATGCACAACATTCTATTCCTAAATAACTGGCTAGTTACCAATCTTTCCAAACCGCGAAAGATGGGATAAATTATCCACTTATGCTGGCAACCGCCGGACGTTATCAAAAGTGACTGCACCGTACGTTCTCGATACAGTGTTTACCTCGCGATTGAACACGAAAGTACGGATTAAGGAGCGCATTAAAGTGTTGACTTTATTAAAACTATACTTAAAAAAGCAGCCATTCTTCTGTTTCCAGTACGGTGAACGGTAATGAGTTCACTCGCTTGATCATCCCCCGCACTTGCCATTGTTTTGGTGAGATTCTCGAGAGTACGCTAACTCGACGATTGAATCATCCCATCAGTCTGATATTGATACGGGGGCGTTTTCTCAACAAGTGTTTCCGATTCAAAACGTAGAGTGTTATTGGGACATATATATATATAAACATATATACACACGTTTCGTGGAAAAAGACGGATAATACTGAAAGTGCGGTGCCAGAGCGGACCACCCGTATTTCGGGGCATACGTCCGCTGCATCCCCATCGGCGTGCCCTGCTGGGCGAGCGTCTGTTCGGCGGCTAATCGGCTGCAGCCGATTGGCGACCCCCAGCGGAGCGGTGTGGCCTCGCACTCCAATTTGTGTGCGAAACGAACGGCAGAAGGTTCAAGCTGCGTTGGCGAATTAGTCTCTCGTGCTAAACCAACCGCCCCCCCCTCTGCCCCTCCCGGATCACCGTGCCCTCCTCCTGCGGCTTATCCTCCGGCGCGCGCGGCCAGCGGCGAAGGAGCGCGGCGCGTGACGCTATTGGTCCCCAGCGCGGCCAATGTGCGCCCCGCCGGCGGTCGCCCTACGCACGAAAGGGACCGCGTCGCAACCCGGACAGTCCGTTCCCGGCCCTTGCTAAGGACCGTGTCGTTGGCGCGATTTGCATGCGTCGCCGATTGTTTGTCAACAAACTTGACTATAACTTCTCCGTGGGTGCGCAAAGTATTCGGATGCCGGCGGACACGGCACGTAGACGCAACAGGGAAATCTCACGTGAGTACCAGTTTTTGTCATAATTAGCGTTGTCCTGGCCGTGTGACAGATGGCGCTAGCTGCGCCGCTGTCGAATTGTGTCATTGAACCGACCCAGCGCGATGGCAGCTCGCGGTGACCTTTATCGTTGCATGCTGTTGTTTATTTTTCCGCTGAACAAAAATCGTTGTTATGTAGCTTAATAGAGGCCCCATTCGGTGTCAAATGGCGTCCGATAGCGGGAATGTGACCTCGACGATCGAATTAGCTCCGTAACATGATACCGCATCCGCGCGGGCATTCCAACGGCGTGCCTACCGTATGTTGTAGAAATATCCTACCAATGCACCGCTTACGTAAGCGAGACAGTCGTATCTTTCGCCTTGACAAACGGTTTTGTGAGAGTGGTAGCAAGATTTTTTGTGAGCAAGTAACAACTATCCTGACCTACCTTTAGTATAACGCGTTTCTCACCTGCCCATAATAATAAATCTTAAGCAAAACTTGATGATTATTACAATATTTATAATAATTACTAAAGTGCTTATATTTATGGTGAAAAACTTGTCTAGCCACAGATATCAATGTCCTTAACATAATTATGGGCATGGCCAATTGAAATGTATCCCTAATTTAGCTATATTTCTGTGACCGATTGCTTTTAGAATGTAATTATGTTTCGTAATAAATGTGCAGTATGCTTTCGAATGTTTTCTATTCCCTGATTGTAAAACAGCGGACGAGTCAGCTGAGTCGTTAACTCGGCACAATCCTTGCTGGCCGCCTTTTATTCTATGTTTAGCCACCACCTATTTATTATGAATGAAGGCTTTATACGTAGGTGACCTCAGTCCCGATTCCCGCTCGTAAACTTTCTATCAAGAAAGCAGACAGAAATAGCTCACACAAGATATTACATAAATATTTGTCACAGTCTTCGCTGGTTATCGCTTTGCATGCCTGCATTTGCCGACCGCCGCCGATGCCAACCGAGATGGGCGGATGTGACGCGGCTTGGGACCTTGTAAACATCTTTGTATGAGCAACGGGACAGTAAATTACGGGAATGCAACAACGCTCTTCGAACTATAGCACTATATAAACATTGCAGACAGCTTTTTAGGCTTTAATAGGACTTCCAAAAATTCATACGACTTATAATATTTATTAATATTTATTCATACGACTTATAAGTTAGCATCTTTAAAGTGCATGCTGTAACATGGGTTGTTAAACATTCTATCTCATAAAAATGTGGACCTACAAAAAATTTTATGTAATTTTAATTATAGTTCGGCAACAGAACAGAAACTTAGAAGGGGAGGTTAAAAACTTCGCAGAATGGACGGGTAGGTGAAATTAAATAAATATCTTGCTAATGTCCTCTAAATTAGTAGAGATAGACTTCACTTTCGATTTCTCATATTTTCTCCTCGTAGTCCTTTATACAATTTTTGGGAACGGATAAATCGGAAGGGGCCAAATATGAACTTCGGCGAGGGCGGCTTACTGCTTCGAAGCCACACTTGTGTACGGCTGCCATCGCGATATAAATTTTGTGTAGGGGTGCGTTGTTTTGCAAAAGGAGCACACCACGCGAACACGTTCCTTTTCTTGTTTTTCCTTAATGGCTTCCTTTAGTTTATCATGTAACGTAGCCTATTAAGTAACCGGTATAAATATATTTATATTTGTTATATATACAGCGTGTCGTTACCATCGCGACAATAAATGAACACACGTCTAACGCTACTTGCCAATAATCATAAAAAAATATTAACGTAAAACAAAATCCATAATTAAAAAAAATATTTTTCAAAGAAACTAATTAAGTAAAAAAGAAACAAAATTTGTAACATCCTATACAACTCGCGCCACAGCGTCGCAGTACAAGCCTCTCCTTCTAACAGTATGTTTTGTCTCTTTTAAATTCATTCAACCCATTCATATGCTTTGTGACCTTTACAAATGAAATTTACGTTACAGTTTTATACGTAAGGGTGTTCTAAAATTGTTTGTTTTGGAACTAAAATTGTTTGTTTTGCTATGTTACCATTACCATTTACCATTACCATTTATTCGCGATCGCGACAGTAACTGAACACACGTATAGGGGATAACTTTTTAAAGTTGTATTAAACATTGAAAATTCTTTAAACATCAATATTTACAGAGTTATTAAATTTTCCAAAAATCTGAATTTTAGAACACCCTTACGTAACATTACAACATAAAAGCGTAACGTAAAGTTCATTTGTAAAGGTCACAAAGCATATGAATGGGTTGAATGAATTTAAAAGAGACAAAACATACTGTTAGAAGGAGAGGCTTGTAATACGACGCTGTGGCGCGAGTTGTATAGGATGTTACATATTTTGTTTCTTTTTTACTTAATTAGTTTGTTTGAAAAATATATTTAAGTCATGTGTACAGCACAACGTCTGACCGTTCCGCCAGTTTACATACATATTTGTACTATATGTATATAAAATTCTTGAGTCACAGTTTTAGTGTTTATACTCCTCCGAAACGGCTTGACCGATCTTGATGAAATTTTATAGTTATATTGAGTAGGCATGAGAATAGATTAATAACAACTTTTTTATTCTTTTTTCTATTCTATATATAATTTATATGACAAAACAATGTTTGCTGGATCAGATAGTATATATATATATATATATATATAAAATTGTCGTTTCACAATCTTAGTTGCCATATTCCTCTGAAACGGCATGATCGATTTTTATAAAATTTTATATGTATATTTGGTACGTCTGAGAATCGGTCGTAGCCTATTTTTCATACCCCTAAGTGGTGTGGGTGTTCCACCCAAACATTTATTTTTTATTTTTTGTAAAAATTTGTATTATTTGGGAATTTTAAATTATAAGTAACAAAACTCTTTTATTTGCTATTAAGCAGATAAAATTTTAATGCCATACCCCTCTATTCCGAGAACTTTTTGAACCGCCCTCGTACTACTACGATTGACATTCCGCCTTCCTCTGTCCGTGTTTGTGATACATTTTTAATTTTTTTGATGGATGCAGTTCAGAATAATATATAGCTTACATCATTTACTGTTCGGTTTTGAAGTCATTTCTTCACATGGTATAAATTTGGGAAAAAAGACAAATTATCATATTTGCCTATAACCGCGTATTGCTACTAACACATTATCTTCTTTTTTCTAAATTGCGAAAATAAAAAATCTCTTTTTATACTATCAGCCTACTGCAAAAATTTCGTAACATCTCTCTTATTAAGTATGTTGAGGTAGTAGGTACTCATGTTGAACACTTTAACCAAAAATTAAGTTTAAACAAAACTATCCATTATAAGGTCGAGAATGGGTTACACAAAATTGATTACAAGAAAATTGAAAAAACAGGCGCCTTAGTATTCGTTACCAGCGTATAATAACACTTTTATGGTTAATTTATTGACAACTTAAGCCGTGACGGCGAATTTTCTGGATTAAATTCAGTATTCTCAAGTGACCTCGTGATCCAATCCCGGTGTCATCTCAGCCAACTAAATAGTTTTCAATTTGTGATTGTGCACTTGTTTTCTTCATAACGTTATGAAGAAACCAATATGAAAAATGTAGTATATTAATACCGAAGCATATTGTTACAGGCACAGTGGTACGTATAACTCGAACCTCGCCAAGTCGAAATACTAAGTAATACGAAATAAATTGCTATTCCCTTCCGCTGAACTATTTTGAACAGCTTCAGTTGTTTAGGTCGAGAGGGAACTGCCCCAAGTGGCTATAGCAACTGTTTCTGGGCGACGGTAGTAGCTGGCTGGCTGGAGTTATTGTAATTGGACATTGGGTGGTCGCTCCCCACCGGTAAATTATGCCGCCTCGCCTAGTTACCACCTAAGGACATAAATAATAACGTCAAACACACAAGGAAAGAAATTTATTCAGTTCCAAATTTTCGATCCTTGTTTCAAGCATGTGACATAGAGGTAGAAAGAGTTTGGAAGTTGGACCTATAGTATTAGTAACGAAGCATGTGTTTATAATCACACTAATATGATGTGCGAGCTGAGAGTTCACCTGATGTTAAGTGATAACTGCCGCCCATTGACATTTGTAGCACTAGCAGGTTTGCAAATGCGTTGCCACCTTTGAATCTAGTGGGCTTTGGTGGGGGTGGCTACCGCGCCACGTATAATAGTTCTACTTAAAATCCCCCGAACTCATAGCAATAAAGTCAAAAAGGCGCCTTTGTTCTATTGTGTGTACTTTGTACACGTGCAATTGAATGTATTAAGCTTTCTAAGTAACGAGTATTTACTGTATACCCAAGGTTTGTTTTTATGTATGACTCACTGGCCCGAAATGAAAACATACGTTTATTATGGGTCTAATATCAATAGTCAATATACCCGGGCAACCTGGGTGCAAATCCCCATGCCGGCACCAGTAAATATACGGTGAAGGAAAAAATCGTAAAGGCCCGCATGTTTTCGAAATATATTACCTAGTTAAAGTTTCACATATATTTCGAATGTAATATGTTGGCGTTAACACGTTACAAAATACGGCAACATAATGATGTCGTGATCATGGTATTTGGTTCATTATTTGAATTTGACAGAATAATTGATAAAAAACTGCAAATACCTTAAATATTTTCTTTTTTGTAAATGCTGCTTATACAGTTCATTTTACTGATAATTTATTTCAATTAGTAGGTATGTAACATAAAACATAAATTAAGTTTGTAGTTAACTAGAATTCCAGTTTTCTTAGAAATTTTAGCTTTCTAAGTTGGAATTTTGGCAATTAAATCCTCTGTATCTCGAAATTATTGTGTCGATAACTCTTTAACTCAACTTTTTAGTATTTAACTATACATTCGAACTATCGAGATTCCATTGTCTATAGAGAATAAATTTTCGACGACCATTCCAATGGTTGATAAGTTTCTTTTAATGGAATAAAATATGATTTCACGATTTTTGTAGCCTTTAATTTTGATCTGTAGCTTTCGAACTATAATTTAGAACACTCAGCTTCCATGGCT